TTGGAGTCTTTGGTGTTACTTGTTGTTTAATTTGTACGTTTTGTTGGGAACAGACCCAAACCAAATCATCGCGTTTGTTCTTTCTTCTTCCGAGGGTGGTTAGGACACAAATAGGCCCACTTCTTTCTATCTCAAATCTAAAAGTTCCGATATCTGAAATTGATCAGTTCCAAAAATCGAAAATCCAACCCAGGGACAAAACCACAGCATCCTAGGGCTGGATGGGCCATGGCAGACTCTTCTGTTTGATCTGGACCTTGGTGAACCAACACCTCGTATCAAAGGAATCAATCACCCCCATCTATTCATGCTGTTGACCTCATATAAAATTCAACCAACCTGTTTATGAATAAGGGTGTGTGTGTGTGTGTCAACTTGGGCGCATTGTGGGGAATCAAACCACTTTTGGACGGGTCCTAACCTCCCTATTAATATCCTGGGGTTGACTAACGTGGGGTCAACATTAGTATGGGCTGGCACCTTGCACTTGTAAAATTGTTGCCCGGTACTTCTGTTGGCCGAGGAAAACTCGGACCGGAAATGACTTCAGGACACCAATTGAACACTTGAACTCTTCCTTTGATGCCCAGCTCACTCATAACACCTGGCCTTTGAAGACTTCACTTCACAACTCGGTTGCTTTCTGCTCCCCTGCTAGAAGTTTAACTTTTAGTGGTTTAATGGAAAACACATTAGTTGGCAAAAAGCTAAAGTCCTAACATCCAAGCAAAATGCACCACAGACAAAGTTGGTATCAAGTTGGCAGAATTCTGGTTGGCAAACCGACTCGCTTTGTGGGTGGTATTGGTACTGTTGAAAATTATGGTTGGCAGGTACCGTTGGTAGAACTTGGTTGGCCTGAGACAAAGCCAAAGACTCGACTCACACAAAGCGTATGGGTGACAATCAGCTGGGCAATAGTTTGGAGATGGCCAAAGGGGGGTCAAAAATGCGGACCCAAAATGGACCCAAAAATGGAACCAGCTGGTAAATGGAACCAAAGACCAAAACCTGCGGTTTTCCTGTAGTGGTTTTCTTTTGACCCATACCCATATGAATGTCAACCAACCAGTTTAGTTCATAGGGAGTGTTTTGGCCCCTCTAACAGTGGTCTGGTTCCCCACATTTCACCCGACCCCCTCTAACAGGGGTTGATTAATAAGGGGTCAACACTACCCAACACTAGTTTTCTGGCACACTCACAATAGGGTAAATCGTCCCAGGAGGTTGCACCGGACGCGAAAGCTACTTGCAGCAAATTGGGCCCCAATCTGGTGTGCTTCGAAAATATGTTCTCACTCTGTTCCATATGTTGCCCTAACATACACAATATGTGTGGATTAGACCGCAGAAAAAAATGGAAAAATAAGAAGAACAAAACGGTGAGTCCATGACTAGCTTGCCCAAAGGACCTTGAAACAAAAGGCAGACCTTTTCCAACCTTGACTATGGACAACATCCGTTTGAAACCAACAGGTTGAAAGATCGATTCGCTAGCAAGTGAGTACAGTGCCGGACCAACCAATCATTCGACTATTTCTTTTTCTAGAAAGGACCCTTCAGGAGGCCTGAGGTTAATGGCAAACACCTTGCAAGCTTGCGCGTTTTTCCTATCTTGGCGCAATCCCAGGGAGTCAACCCGAAAAAGCATCAGATACTATCGGAGCCCCCGTGAGATGTTGAGCAGGGCCAGCAAATTGGAATGCGGGGTAAATCAAAAGCGAGTTGAGTCCCAGGAGAAACAGTTCGCCCCTTCCTTGCCTTCTCCAATGTCTCATTCGGAACCGGTTCGAATCCAAGATGGCGTCGATTCCGAGTTCCAGTTTTCTTCGGATCTTTTTCGGAGAGCCTTCATAGCAACAGTTGCCTGGTCGCCGGTGGCCTTTCTTGGGGGGTTCCTTTTTTGCGACTTCAGGGGAACAGGAAAAACCAAGCAGTTTGGGGGTAACTCAAGAGGTCGCCTTTTTTTTGGTTTGAAGGCTCGCCGGCAGCCTTTCTGGAGGGCGGCCTTTGGTGGTAAGGGGAAGCCCAAAGGATTTTGGTTGGGGGGGGTTTCAAGACACCGATTTCCTGGATTCTCAGTTGCTTTCTGCTCCCCTGCTAAAAGTTTAACTTTTAGTGGTTTAGTGGAAAACCCATTAGTTGGCAAAAAGTTAAAGTCCTAACAGCCAAGCAAAATGCGCCAAAGGATTCCCAGCGCCGAGCATTTGCCGAGCTCCGGGCTTCATCATGAAGAACATGTCTGTTCCTGAGGCGAGGCGAGGCGAGGCTAGCTCACGGAACTTGAGTGGAGCCCAGCACTTGTGCCCCCCAAAAAAATAAGCTGGCCGTTCGTTCGGGGATCTGTGAGGGACCATAGATTTGGCCATCCTCATCAACGCTCCCTGCGGACTAGAAAGGCTACACTCACAAGAGCTGCGACTGCTAAAGTGGATCAATCCGTTGGCGAAACAAGGTTTGCAGACGGCTCCCAAGCAGGGTTTGCGGGTTAAAAAAAGCAAGGGTTAACAAAAACAAGCTTGGAGGGTGAAAACACAACTCAACATGGATTTGGGTTTCCCTTGAAACCCATCAAAAGGGGCAAAGGCAGACCCAACGTTGACCCAGCACTACTTGAGCCCATGGCCCGCTTTGGGCTCCTTCAGCGCATCGGCGTCCCACCTGAAACACAGAAAAACGCGTCTACCCCCAGCCGCGAAAACCGGGGAGCAAAAGTTGGGAAAGCGGGGAACCCTGAGACATTCCCTCCTATATTCACCTGTTGTAGATTCTTCCATACATTCTTTCCCGAGTAGCTGCAAAAAGAACATGTGGCATGCCATGTGTTAAAACCACCCCCTTCAATACAGAATGGCCGGGGATTTGGTCAGGGAAACGCAGCACTTGGCTTGGAACCTACAAACACAGGATGTTGGGGCTTCCACACAGGCTGGATTCCCGCCAAAAGAACCCGGCCCCCAGAAAGGGAGGTTCCATGAACTAAAACCAATTGACTGTTGGCTCCAGCGTGGAGCCACTAAGAAACATTGCTGAGAGGGTGTTCTGTGGGAGCGTCACTTCTGCCGTTCCAGTTTCTCCTTTGTGAAGCTATTGCCAGCTTACGCCGAATTGCCAAATTGCAAAATGCTGCCAAGGTGAAAGCAGGCTGGGCAGGTTATGAGTAGGAGAAAAGTAGGAGATACCACAACCGTCTTGCAGGGTTCCCACTGGACTGATTTTTGGAGATGCAGCCGGCGAGGCATTTCGGATTCAGGGCAGGCGGCGAGATATTTGCAAACTCACTTCACCAGCCGCGAGATCGTGGTCCTTCATTGCTTCCAGAGGTGAGATTAGTTGCCGTCACAATTGCGGCGGGATACTCCGGGAGTAGCTCTCCGCCCAGCCCCGTCCTCGAGAGCCAGAAATCTCTCCAACTTGGTCCTGGTGGCAAACCCCCTCAAAGTGGAGAGCTACTCCTTGGGCCAAATCAACCCACGAAAGACCCCACAAATAGGAGCGGAGGGCTGCTCCCAGAGTAGCTCTCCACTTTGAGGGGGTTTGCCACCAGGACCAAGTTGGAGAGATTTCTGGCTCTCGAGGGCGGGGCTGGGCGGAGAGCTACTCCCAGAGTATCTCGCCGCGATTGGTATTGCCAGCCAAGCATCTCGCCGCTGGAAACAATGAAGGACCACGATCGGCCTTACTACTAGAACCCCATGAAATGTCAAGCCCTTTTTGTTGGCGCCGCTCATATGGGTTTGAAAACCACAATCAAAGCCCCTGTGGAACGTGTACAGCTCCGGGATCCCTCCGCAGCGAGGCGTGCCCTCTGTGGCCAGCCAAGTTTCAACTGAGGCCGCACCCCAGAACTCCCCCATGGTTTTTGGCGGTCCCCTCGCACGGTTTGAGCGAGTTTGCGGGGAGAGTCTCGACTCGTCTAAGGGATCCCACGTCTTGCATGCTTGCAACTGCAACAACTTCCATTTTCATACCCTGCTTCTTTGTTTGTGGTTGGTGTGCGGTAAACTTTCTGTAAACATCCCTGTAGCTGACTTCCATGATGCGCGGACTCCGCGGACTCGGCATTTTCCGCCGGCGCTTCTGCAAGCTGCTAGCCGCCACGTCCAAGCACACGAGGCTTTAGGCTAATCATGCAGAGCAGAAGTCCCCGCATCGCCTCCAATTGTCATAAAGGGAAGCCGCCAACCAAGTTGATCGCTTGCAATCTATGCTTTTGTTTGCAAACCGAATGCTTCCAGCAGTCTTCCGTTGATCCAAGTTGGGAACAACTTGAAATGCCCGCATCTGGGGTACACACAAAACATATGACTCTGTTGTATGCCTAGCCTACCCTAAAATGAAAAAAATAGATGAGACTCCACGTGTCAGCTGAAACCACACATCTCAAACTTGATCCGGAGCTCCGACATCCAGGGCTTGCCAGCTGATGCGTTCAATGGCGGGATACCGTTGAGGCAGCAGTGGTATGATCTTTGACAACATTTGGCTGGGGGTCACAACCAATGGTACCATTTTGGGGTAGGTGCACCACCCATTTTAGTCTATTTTAGTGGGGATTGGGATGTTCACTGGGGGTACGGGATTTTGACCCATGGCCATTTTGCCAACCAGCGGGGAACCAACAAACGAAACATGGTTTCCAGTTGCAAATCTGTCAGAATAGTTGATGAGACCGTAAGTTAGACGTTCATGCCAGGAGTTTGTAGATGGCTATGTGGCTATGGGTCAAAACCCCGGTTAGTTCCCAGTGAACATCCCAATCCCCACTAAAATAGGAAACCTATGGGCCGAATCTGTGAGGTGCTGGGCGTATCTCTGTTTGAGTCCCCTTTTCAGGGTAGGCTTGAAGCGAACCAGGAACACATCGACCAAATTGATTTGTTCCCCTTAGACACACTGGCATTTTGCCCAATGAGTTTGTAAACGGCGACAACGTCCAGACTCCAGCCACAAAAGGGGTGGGCAAACTCATGGCCATAAGCAAAATCAGCGAGATCAGCTCACACCACCAGCGCGTCCAGCTCAGGAATGTCCTACCGGACACGCCGATGTGCCGTTGCAAAAGGCAGCTACAAGGAGATTCAACTCGCAATGAACTGGGTACATCATGACCGACTGGACCCTGCTAAATGCAAGGTGAGTCAGAACCGGAAAAATACAAAAGGATCCAACCCCTCCCTTGGATTGCCTGGTTTCCTAAAAACATGACCTTCATGCAGAGGGAGCGGGTCTTAAGACCAACCAGACATCCACTCCCTGGACCTAAACCAAATCCAATCATACTGGTTCGGGAAGGCAGCCACGTTCACCAAAACTCAGCTCGTAGTCATCACCAAGCAGCGGCAGAAGTTCTACAACTGCAAGAGCAACAAACGATCAAACAAGTGTTCCAAAGGCGCCGAGCAAAAACATAAACGGTCCATTGCGACAATGTCAGAGACCGCATGACTGCAAACTCGTAAAGGAGCCAAAACAAAACCCAGAGAAAGAAACGGGTGGTTCGTGGCTCTTTGTCAGCTTGCAACTTTTGCTGCTAGCCTGCAAGTATTTAGGTTATGATTGCGCGCTCATCAATAAGTAAACTGGGCTATGCACAACGGCAGGGTTTCTAAACAAAGTCCGTAATCCATAGTGGGGCACACCTACGACAAGGGATATGACTACCATCTGAAATAAGGGTTGAAGGGTTTGTGTTTGAACAACTCAGATTGAACTTATTTGCCCAACCAGCATCTCCAACATCCCCAGCACTTTTAGCCAGCATCTCCGACAGGCGCTCGCGACCAGAAAACTGCCAGAATCGGACCTCAAAAAACTGCCAAAAAACCGAACATGGCGGTGCGAATGCATCTTCAGCATCCCTGGCATCTGCTCCAGAAATTCTAGATTCAGGGGATCCGCAAGCAAAGGACCGTTATCACAGCTTTCGCTCGGTATACCCCGGAATCGGTGAGCTTGCCATGGAATACACAGATTTATTCATCAGACGTCGACATAACTTGCTGGTGCTCAGTAGGGAATGACCCACGCTGCTGGGAATGAACGGGATCCCTTAAATGAAACCAAATCGGACATGGTTGATCTGGGCTCGAGTTCCATTTCTCCTTCCCTGCATCTCTCGCACCGATCGCACGTCCAAAGGGATTAGGATTTGACCCAAACCTTCGGCATCGAGTCACAGATGCCCAGTGGATTTCCATGGGAAAAAAAAGTGCATCCTTTTGTTGGTTGGATGACTTTAAAGGGGACCCCCGGGAAAAAAAAAAAGAGAAAAAAAAACGGGCACCCTGTTTTTGGTTGGTTGACTTTGAAGGGGAACCCGTCCCAAGAAAGGAGAAAGAGGAAGCAACCCTCCCTCCTCGAGGGGGTCGCACTGGGTTCCGCGGCAAAGCTGCGGCGTCACCTTGGGGCAAGTCTCCGCGGCCTTCTCCCAGGCGAGCACCTCGGGGCCCGAGTCTGGCCCGAGCCTTGGGGGAACTTACCAAGCTTGAGGGAAACTTGGGGGTAGATAATTGGGCCCGGAAATTGGGGGCAAATCTTCGCATGTAGGTAATGGCAGGGATTCCAAGAGTCGGTCTCAATTTTCCCACAAAGGACCGCTTGCGACTGGCCGTGGGTTTCCTGTCGTGTTTGGGAGTCGGAGTCCCAAAAATGCGTGGGTGGTCCGTGTATAATTTGTCCGTTAAAACCAACCAAAAAGTAGCCTCAAAAAAAAAGACAAACCCATCTAGGGTAAATCTGCCAAGCAACTTCCCTTGCTTCGGTTTGGGGGTGGACACCATCTTGGACGGGCGGCGCGAGTCGCAAGCAGAGCCTTGGGGTTGTCTCAGACCAGAAAAAGATCGCCAAGGCTTTGGGGTTGGCCGGAGGGGACCTCCAAATGTTGCCACGATAAGTAGGGAATCTAGGAATGAACCCAGGCTTTGGAGCCCTTAAAGGACACCAGTTGGATGCTTTTTCTTTTGGTCATTCCATTCCTCAGCTAACCAGCTGTGGTTGGTTTTCTTTCGGTGGTCTGGTTGAAACCACACAAAACGGGTCCGAGGTTTCCGCGGGCTGCTCAAGTTTCTGCAGGTTCTTGGATGAAAATGCCGGCTCACTCGGGTGAAAGGCGGAAATTTTGGCGCTCACTCGCATCATTTGGAGGGTGACAAAGCTGGTTCTATCATCTAGGTCCAGTAGAGAGGACAGAATAAGGGTACCAACTTTTTGTGTGTAGTCTATTTTAGGGGAACCCTCCCAACCCAAAAAGGGGTGAGAAAGGGGCACCAATTGCTAAAGGACCGAGTCACCGTTTTCATGGCCTTCATTTCCCTAAACCTCCGCGCGCACCTGGGACCCTCGAGGCTTCTTCTCTGAGGCGGTCCGCTGGTCATTTCCATGGCCAGGGCGACATCATGGTCCGAACCGAAGGGAAGCCAAGGAAGTCGCATGGTCCATATATGGCGCCCAACTCTTGATTCAGTACATAGCCTGGACGTAGCGAATATCTACTTGGATTGAAATTGTACACAAGGTCCTCAGGAGGCCCACATCGTTAGTTTATGCTTCTCTAGAGCCAAAGGAAATCCTTGAGCAACTTGGACATGCCCAAAGAACTTCTCGGCTTGCAAACTCGCCCTTTTTAGGAGAACAAAACCGCAAAAGACCAGCCGCAGCTTAGAAACATGACCTCGAGGCCATGTCTAGGTCCTCCAGCAGAGAGGTCAAATAAAGGGCACCCTTTGTTCTGTAGTCGATTTTAGTAGGGGAACAGGTTCTCAGGGCACTACTAGTGGGGGACCCGGGACTCCCGGGACTCGAGCAGGACTTTGGGCCCACGGCACCAGGCGCTGGGAGGGTATCTTGGTCAGGTTGCTGGCGGCGCTGCCCATCAACACGTCCCGGTAGCAGTCCAGGTAGCCTCAAAACAGGTCCGCGGGGTGGGGGGTGGGGTGGGGGTGGGTGAGGTGGTGGGGTGGGGGTCGGGGTTGGGGGTGGGGGTTGGGTTGGGGTGGCTGCATCAAACTCATCGGACCCCGAAATCCGCCGACCCCCCTGCCTGCAAGGGGAAGGCGCTGGGGGAGTGTTCGTTTAGCGTTGGAGCGTGACTGTGGCAGCCTTCTCCCTTCCCTTTCGCCCTCGCCTGTTCAGCCCTGTACCTTACCAGCCTTCTTTCTTTCCCTTTTTTCTTGTTCTTCTTCGTTTCTTTTCTTTCCTTTTCCTTTCTGCTGCCGGCGCACTCCTTTGGTTGGTGCTCGCTGTAGACAAACGAGTGCGGCCTGGAAAAGCGCGGGAAGCGAAGCTTTTGTGGCTGGCTGCTCCCTCTGGACCGATAGCCTTGCTGCATATTGGACTCAAACGCGACGTTAGGCACCCGGCCGCGGCGGAGCAGGCTGCCGGCGCACTCCTTTGGTTCGTGCTCGCTGCGGCGAAGCGAGTGCGGCCTCCAAGCGCGCTGGACGCGAAGCTGTTCTTGCTGGTCGCGCCCTGGGGACCGATAGCTTTCTACTTTCTATATAGGATTCAAAAGTGACGTTCGGCACCCGGCCGCGGCGTACCAGCCGGTCTTGGCAAGACGCACAGCAAACCCAAAGGGATGAAAGACCAGGGAGAGGCAAACTGTGACAGACGCAGGCGCACATGGGCATGGACAGGCCGGGGATTGAACCCAGCCCCTCTCGCATGCTGAGCGGGTGTGATACCACTACACCAACTGCCCCTGAGCTGAGCAGGCCGAGAGTGCTCAAATACCTGCTGCGCATAGCTTTCAGCGCGGTCCAGAGGGAGCGGCCAGCCACAAAAGCTTCGCTTCCCGCGCTTGCGCCGGCAGCAGAGAGGAAAAGGAAAGAAACCAAAGGAGTGCGCCGGCAGCAGAAAGGAAGACTAGAGGCCGAACGGGCGGGCCCGCACTCCTTTGCCCACAGCGAGAACCAACCAAAGGAGTGCGCCGGCAGCAGAAAGGAAGCAAAAAGGCCGGACGAGCGGGCCGTGACAGACCTTCAGCGCTGAAAACTGTGCCCTGCAGGTGCTTGAGCGCTTTTCCAGGCCGCGCTCGTTTGCCCACAGCGAAAAGAGGCCGCTGGACGGACCGATAGCCTTGCTGCATATTGGACTCAAACGCGACGTTAGGCACCCGGCCGCGGTGGAGCAGGCTGCCGGCGCACTCCTTTGGTTCGTGCTCGCTGCGGCGAAGCGAGAGCGAGCTGGACGCGAAGCTGTTCTTGCTGGTCGCGCCCTGGGGACCGATAGCTTTCTGGCTGCCGGCGCACTCCTTTGGTTCGTGCTCGCTGCGGCGAAGCGAGTGCGGCCTCCAAGCGCGCTGGACGCGAAGCTGTTCTTGCTGGTCGCGCCCTGGGGACCGATAGCTTTCTACTTTCTATATAGGATTCAAAAGTGACGTTCGGCACCCGGCCGCGGCGTACCAGCCGGTCTTGGCAAGACGCACAGCAAACCCAAAGGGATGAAAGACCAGGGAGAGGCAAACTGTGACAGACGCAGGCGCACATGGGCATGGACAGGCCGGGGATTGAACCCGGCCCCTCTCGCATGCTGAGCGGGTGTGATGCCACTACACCAACTGCCCCTGAGCTGAGGAGGCCGAGAGTGCTCAAATACCTGCTGCGCATAGCTTTCAGCGCTGAAGCATGCCAGCTGCGTCCAGCAGGAGCAGAAACCAAAGGAGTGCGCCGGCAGCAGAAAGGAAGACTAGAGGCCGAACGGCGGGCCGCACTCCTTTGCCCACAGCGAGAACCAACCAAAGGAGTGCGCCGGCAGCAGAAAGGAAGCAAAAAGGCCGGACGAGCGGGCCGTGACAGAGCTTCAGCGCTGAAAACTGTGCCCTGCAGGTGCTTGAGCGCTTTTCCAGGCCGCGCTCGTTTGCCCACAGCGAAAAGAGGCCGCTGGACGGACCGATAGCCTTGCTGCATATTGGACTCAAACGCGACGTTAGGCACCCGGCCGCGGCGGAGCAGGCTGCCGGCGCACTCCTTTGGTTCGTGCTCGCTGCGGCGAAGCGAGTGCGGCCTCCAAGCGCGCTGGACGCGAAGCTGTTCTTGCTGGTCGCGCCCTGGGGACCGATAGCTTTCTACTTTCTATATAGGATTCAAAAGTGACGTTCGGCACCCGGCCGCGGCGTACCAGCCGGTCTTGGCAAGACGCACAGCAAACCCAAAGGGATGAAAGACCAGGGAGAGGCAAACTGTGACAGACGCAGGCGCACATGGGCATGGACAGGCCGGGGATTGAACCCAGCCCCTCTCGCATGCTGAGCGGGTGTGATACCACTACACCAACTGCCCCTGAGCTGAGCAGGCCGAGAGTGCTCAAATACCTGCTGCGCATAGCTTTCAGCGCTGAAGCGGTCCAGAGGGAGCGGCCAGCCACAAAAGCTTCGCTTCCCGCGCTTGCGCCGGCAGCAGAGAGGAAAAGGAAAGAGAAAGGAAGACTAGAGGCTGAATGGGCGGGCCCGCACTCCTTTGCCACAGCGAGAACCAACCAAAGGAGTGCGCCGGCAGCAGAAAGGAAGCAAAAAGGCCGGACGAGCGGGCCGTGACAGAGCTTCAGCGCTGAAAACTGTGCCCTGCAGGTGCTTGAGCGCTTTTCCAGGCCGCGCTCGTTTGCCCACAGCGAAAAGAGGCCGCTGGACGGACCGATAGCCTTGCTGCATATTGGACTCAGCCGCGACGTTAGGCACCCGGCCGCGGCGGAGCAGGCTGCCGGCGCACTCCTTTGGTTCGTGCTCGCTGCGGCGAAGCGAGTGCGGCCTCCAAGCGCGCTGGACGCGAAGCTGTTCTTGCTGCTTGCGCCCTGGGGACCGATAGCTTTCTACCTTCTGTATAGGATTCTACAGTGACGTTCGGCACCCGGCCGCGGTGGAAACAGCCGCCCTTGGCAAGACGCACAGCAAACCCAAAGGAAAGAAGAGCAGGGATCGGCAGACTGTCCCAGACGCAGGCGCACATGGGCATGGACAGGCCGGGGATTGAGCCCGCCCTCTCACATGCTGGGTGTGATGCCGCTACACCAACTACCCCTGAGCTGAGAAGGCCGAGAGTGCTCAAACACCTGCTGGCCGCAGATTTCAGCGCTGAAGCTCTGTCGGCCAGCCCGTTCGGCCTGTCTTCGCACTCCTTTGGTTGGTGCTCGCTGTGGGGGGCAAACGAGTGCGGCCTAAAACAGCGCTCGAACACCTGCAGGGCACAGCTTTCAGCGCTGAAGCTCTCTCGCGGCCCGCCCGTACGGCCTTTTTTCTTCCTTTTTCTCCTTTTCTGCGCACTCCTTTGGTTTCTTTCCTTTTCCTTTCTGCTGCCGGCGCACTCCTTTGGTTGGCGCTCGCTGTGGACAAACGAGTGCGGCCTGGAAAAGCGCGGGAAGCGAAGCTTTTGTGGCTGGCCGCTCCCTCTGCACCGATAGCTTTGCTGCATGTTGGACTCAAATGCGACGTTAGGCACTCGGCCGCGGCGGAGCAGGCTGCCGGCGCACTCCTTTGGTTCGTGCTCGCTGCAGCGCAGCGAGTGCGGCCTCCAAGCGCGCTGGACGCGAAGCTGTTCTTGCTGGTTGCGCCCTGGGGACCGATTGCTGTCTACTTTCCATCTAGCACTCCTTTGGTTGGTGCTCGCTGTGGGCAAACGAGCGCGGCCTGGAAAAGCGCTGAAAACAAGCAAACAAGCAAGCGAGCGAGCAAGCCAGCAAGCCAGAACCAGCCAAAAGCCGCTGCCAGAACAAAAAAAAACCTGGGCTGGCCCCCAGCGGAGGGGTCGGCGGCACTGGGCGGCAGCCCTTAAATTTGTTCCTGTTGGTTTCCCTTTCAACCAACCCCAAGGTTTGGCCTCAAAATCATACTGGATGGTTGCGAAATCCGGATTTCGCTCCACTGGGGAAACCATGAGAAGCCATTGTTCATTGGTAATTACAGGGAATCAGACCATTCCAGGGTTTCTTAGGTGGTGCAGGATTTCGTCCATCCACAGTAGGTGGCCTATTGGAAAAATAGATGGCCCTGGTACATGGAAGAAGCCCCACCGAATTAAACTAGGGGAACCCATCTATTCTTAATCAAGCTAACCTAAAAAGGACACCTATGCTCAAAATCGATCAACCCGCAACCACGCCCACGGTCGGTCGGATTGGGGGGTCTCGGTCTTTGAGGCTGCCTTTGTTTGGGGTTGACATGTCAGAAGGGACTGCAACTTGTTTATTTGCCCAATTCAGGGAGTCTCCCGATTTTGTCGCTGCTTTTACGGGGACTGTGCCCAATAAATAGCATCCCCCCCTTCCACTTTCAGTAGACGATGGCAACAACTAGCTGTTGCTCCTGTCGCAATAGCTTGCGTGAACCAAAAAAAAAACAGGGCCCAAATTTTGCTTGTGGCCCTCAACATCACGGGGATGTGTCGGGTTTTGTGTGCAACCACCAACCACTTTTGAAACCGGACCCGCCAATCTTCCCGAAGTTGGCCTCGCTTTGACCTCCGGAGCCTCTGAACGTAAGCTGCCAGTTCAGCAAATGGGCCGGCGTCCACCCGAAACCAGCGGCCAAATAACTCAAACGAGAAGGGGAATTTAGAGGAGAATGCAGAGGATGGAATTCTATACGCCTTGGGTGAACTGTTTTCTTTTGGTTCCCTTTAACTCAAGCAGAAAAAGGTGACCCTCAAAAAACAGGGGTACGTCAAACTCATTGGGCCTCAACAATTGAAGTGTTCATGTTGGTTTCCCTTTCATCCAACCCCGAAAAGGGGGGTTGGCTCCAAAACGCGCTCAGCCCCACTCGACTCCCCCCGCCCTGCCCCGCCCCGAACGGTGGACATAAATCCCCAGCTCTCAATGTCTTTTTGAGGATCGGACTCCGAAAAATGGTTGGTTTCCTTTTGGTGTCCCCTCACAACCAAAAAGCGTACCTTCAAACAAAGACACACCCAAACCCCCACCTGGTAAATGGAAGAACCCCCCTTCTAAACCAGTGCCACCATTTTCAATCAAACTAACCTAAAAAGCACACCTATGCTCAAAACAAGTCCTTCCCCGACCGCTCGGCTCCCTGCAAAACAGCTCGATCGCGTTTTCTCGATTTCGCCGCGGGGCAGTCGGAGGTGCGGTTCAGCGGCAGGCCGCAAGTGCCGAAGCAGCGCTTCCCGTAGAGCTCCACCAAGCGATCGACGGCTGAGTCGATGCAGGTGGCGTTTTTGTACACCGAGGTCACCTGGCTGTGGGTCAAAATTATGTACCCAAAATGGCTTGCCCTGCCAAACGGAACCAAGCACTGAAACCTGCGGTCCCGTGGTTGTTTAATTTTGACCCATACCCACCTGAGTCGCAATCAAAACCCAGGATTAAAATGATCTACCCAGAATCATGCTTCAAGAACTAAGAAGGCGGCCGCAGCTATTTATGGCTGAGATTGTCCCTTACTAACCTTCATCTACCCGGGTTTTGATTGTGGCTCACCTGCGCTTTGGATTTCGCTCACTTCCGAGGTGGATTGGGCCCAAAAAATCGCAGAGTCACCGAACTGTTTGTTGATTTTTTTACCAGTACACTGGTCCAAACCCAAAAGTCACTAGAGGCCATGCACTCAGGAAGTGAGTTGGGAAGTTTGTTTTTGTTGGGTGGGCGGTGGGGCTTGGGCGGTGTTCTTTATTCTGGGGATAAGGTTTTGGGGGTGAGGGGTGACGGCTCTACGGGCACGCAACAGGTTGACAAGGTCAAGCGCACAGCGGCAAACTTCAGAAAAGGAATCCGCAAAGACGTGGGTCTACAACAAGTCACATCTCGAGTGGATAGGCACATGGTTTGCCTCTTCCACTGTTTGTGGGATAGATAAGCAGCCCTGGTAGTGTAGAAACCCTTTTCAAGTTGGAGGCTGTTCATTTCAGTGGAAAACGCGAACCCTGGATAGGCAAACGAAAAGTCTAAACTGGTTGTTTCCCACAAAACATGGTCTTCCGACAAAAGTGTAATTCGGTCCTCCAGTAGAGAGGTTAGAATAGCGGTGCCTTTTTTTGTAGTCTATCTTAGGGAACCCTCCCCCAAAAAAGGGGTGAGACTGGGGGACCTAGGAGAGACCAAAAGGAAACCCGACCCATTTAATGGGTTTCCGCCCCCACTTTTCTAGGCACCACCAAAGCCTCCAACACCAAATTCGCCGCCTCACGACTCATACGACCCATGCGACTCATGCGACTTGCGCCTCCTTCCAGGTGCAGCCCTTGGTGCCCAGCGCCTGCTGCTTGGCGCACTCCCCGGCCGAGGGCGTGGAGTACCAGAGCCCCCCCAGGTCCCCCACGCCGAACCAGCCAGCACGCCTTGCGGGCGGAAGTTTCGGATGGGAGTTGAATCGATGCCTCGACGTTTTTTGTTTTTTTAAATCCTCTTTTTGCTTGCTTTTTCTTGTTTTTCTGGCGGGTGCTCGGGGAATGAGGGAATGTACCTCGGGATACGCTCATTTCGGGGCTTTCGATCCCTCGAATTTTGGGGGAATGAGAAAATGAGCCTGGGATCCCTCGAAGCTCTTTGTGGCTGGTGCTGAGGGAATGCTTGGTTGACGTTGGGAGGGGAGCAAAAAAACCTAATTTGAGCAGTTAAGTAATTAGGGATGTCAACCACTAAACCGCAATAAGCAACAAATGTTTCCCAACAACCACCATGAATAAATGAATGAGCCTGGGTGTCCCCTTTTCGTTCATTCCCTGAGCACCAGCAAGTCGTGTCGAATCATTTCGGATCGGATGTTGATTCAAAAAGAAGGAGAAATGGAATGAACTTGGCCCCCTTGAAGGGAAATCCACCAGTTGGATGGTTTATTGTCGAATCGATCCCTCGAATGTCGGATCGATTCGGATGTCGATTTAATCAAAATATAGGGAGAGACCCCACTAAAATGTGCGGACTTGCATCTCAAATGGGGATGGTCAACATGTTGATTGGGCCAGAAGGCTTTCCTTTTGGTTTCCCTTTAAATCAAGCCCAAACACGGTCTGGGGGACCGTACTAATCAGCAGTAGTTCCCTTTTGAGTAAGCAGATGAACTATGTTTTGAAGCTCTGACGAGGATCCTCTGGACTAGTCCGAAGTCAACATTACAAAGAACCAGAGGTACTGAAGAAATGGGGTTGTTTTTTTGTTGGGATTGGACCGACCAAAAATGGCAGCCGTTTTCCTTTGGTATCTCTTTAAACACACAAAACACGCCGGTATCCTCAAAACAACAACTAATATCCACGGCCCCTAAAAGAAAACCAGCAGTTTGACGGGAAGTAGGGGTGAAGTACCCCTCCTTCCCTACCGGGAACCAGAGAAAATCAAGAACACAGGTGGCCTAAAAGGCGCATAAAACCAATGTGAAGCAGTGGCACTCATCTATGTCTAACCTCACTTGGCCAAACAAAGTCCAAACGTTTGCTTTGCCACTAAAATGATCCAAACCACAAAGTGACTAAAGTCCATGAACTCAGGGAGTGAGTAACTAAGCTAACCGAAAACAACACCTGCTGTGGATGGACAACATCCATTTAGCACCACTTTGAAACCATGGCAAATCACTTTTTGCTGGGAATCTATAGAAAAAGGTATCATCATTCCCTTGTTTCTGAACTGGTGCAAAATGAATAAACCGCTTGTTGCATGTATTTTCAGGGGAAATCATTCCCTTCTGAACGAGATGGAGTTCGTCCATCCACATTAGTAAATAAGTGGGCTTGGATTGTTTTGGGAATTTGAACCCTTGGTTCTAGAGAGCAAATGGGAAACCACCCGTATCTGGGTGAATCATAATAGTTCACCAACCTGGAATAAGGTGGTTCGGGGATATTCCCCACATAAACCACCATAAGTTGTTTTTCTTCTTTTTTGTCGTGTGAGGTCGCTATAATTCACCCACATGGGCGAACCACACTTCTTCATACTGGAGTTCGGACCCCAGCAAAAAACTATACTTTCTGCCTGGGTAGTGGCAAACAAAGGGCACCCCAAAAAAGCCAACAAATAAAAGGGGGAACTAGTTCTGGGGCAGATTGTTTCATACTCCTCACGTCGTTTCCAGCACTCCTTGGGATTTCGGCACGGAACGCGCGGCCTCGTCCAAGGCCCGAGCTTGCCGCTGCTGCACTCACCTGGGACCTCCGTCCTGGGCCGAGGGAGGCTCGAGTGACGGAATTTCGGGTGCTTCGACCGCAGAAAAATGCGGCTCCAACAGTCAGCTTCATGGTTGGCTCGGGAAATGATCCCCAAAAAGCTCAAGAATCCGGCTGCATTCTTGCAGGCTTCTTTTCGGTTGACTCCTCCATTCTTCTAACAACCCTCGTAAGCTTTTCAAGCGCCGGGTATCCGTTTCCCTGGGTTTCCCGGGGATTTCTAGAAAGATTCGGATCCCTAAGAATGGAATTGGAAGGTAGCACTAGAAGCTTGGACAAATGATCCCCAATAAAAGCAAGCAAGCTTCAGGATAGCCAAGAGAACTCCACCAAAAAGCATCCAAAAACCCACTGCTTTACATCCGGGATCCTACAGGTTCTTTCTCATGGTTTCACTGGCTCCTGGGGTTACTGGACGGGAACACACTTGGCTCTCGATCTCTTGGAATCCAACCTAAGCACCTCCAAAAGGTGATCCCCAAAAACCAGCGGAAACCTGCAGACTTTTGCTGAAAAACAAAAACATCCTAGGTCCTCCAGACTTGAGAGGTTAGAATCAGGGTGCCAACTGTTTTTCTATGTTGTCTACTTTAGTAGGGGAACCCTCCCCCAAAAAAGGGGTTAAAAAGGGCACCTAGCTGGGAGACCTAGTCTCACTTCCGATCGAGTGGATTGGCCAAACATAAGTAACCACACTGTTTGGCGAATGCAAGGGTCCAAACCCCAAACTTGTAAACTTGTACCTCAAAACTTGGACTTTTTGGACCACACACTTTTGGTTCTTGTAGAACCGTCCAACACCTAAAACCTGAAAAACTCAAGTCCGAGTCCCGGAACTCTTCGGGCCCGAGAGTGGGGATCTTGCGGACCGCAAGCTGGACATCTACCGCCAGAGGGGTGGCCCCCAGCTGCTCTTCCGTGCTTTGTGTCTTTGGTCCGGATGAACCAACGACCACACCGGCTCGCGGAGCGCTCGCGGTCTGCCAGCCATTCAGTTGCTGGCTGGGGAGGCTGCCCAAGTCTTGTGGCGTAGGGAAGCCTGTGGAAAGCCACCCAAGGCCGGCCGAATCACCCCCCGGACCTCCGGGACTTGTTGGGCAACCAGATGGTCAACCCAAACTCACGTGTCGAGTTGCACCAGCGTTGTCGCTCAAAGGATACACCACGCGGCGAGATAGAAAAAGAGCCATGTGTCTTTGATGCTTCCATCCTCTCAGATTTTCCGATTCTTCAAGAAGCAGTTTTCGAGGCCCCGCTGCGGCCACCCGTCGGAAAGGAAATAGCTGGCTGCCCCTGATTTTGCCCCAACGTGAATCTACCCTATTGAAGGGACATTTGAGGCATGGATGCCCTAGCAATGGTTGCTTGAATTTTTGGGATAGGGATAGGTTCCTTCCGAGAATTGTTAGTAGAATTCCTGGCAAACCCTGCGCCGACGTGTTGAGGGCCATTGTTGCACACTGAGAAACCTTGTCCCGCTTTATGTTGTTTAATAGTTCGGAGGCATTCGGGGTACCATCCCGTTCATGGCAACAGTTCACCTGCAAAAAGGGACCTAAAACTACAGGTTTACCGTTTACCTTTTGTGACCTGGATTGGTTGCCAAAATGGGGGGCAGCCCTTGAGACAAGCATCAAGTTGCCAGTAAACAGCTCGGCGGTGAAGTTGTCTCGCATCCACCAACCTGCAAAACAACAAACAAACAGCTCCCGCGCTTGAACCTGGGCCCTCCAAAAGCGCATTGGCTGGGGTGGGCGACGTTTTTGGGTGTGCTTTGTGGAGGGCATTCAGATGATATCCGCTTTGGGTGTTGTGGGAAACCAAGTGGCGACCTCTGAACTCAGGGAGATTTTGTCTGCTTGTTCTGCTGCGGTGAGCCAAATTGCCTCAAAAGGCATGCGAGACACTGCCCCCATCCTCCCAGTATGGCCGGGGTGCTTCCCACAAACACACCTCGTTGCTGTCACCACCCCCTTTCAAATCATCATGGAAGTCGGGGTGTTTCAAGACTACCATCCTTTTGAATAGTATCCTTGTAGGTTTGTTTCACAACAGCGGAACCTCAAAATGGGGTTTCCTTCGGTTCCCTTCAGTTTCCCAGCTTGCATTCTGTGAGCAAAGGAAGGACGCAAGCGCTGTCGCATTGCTGGGTGGCGTCACTGGTTTACCAAAGTTACCCTTTCAAGGGAAAAACTAGTCAAACTGTCATGACTCGGTTGACGTTGGAAGGGGAGCAACAATTCAATTGTTAGCAGATAAGTGGGGATTTCAACACTAAACCACAACAAGCAAAAATGTTTCTAATGTTGCCCAACAACCACGATGAGCAGGCCCCATTTAAGACGGCCGCACACCGCCACGTGCGTCACAAAACTTTGCGCGGAGCGGGAGACAGCCGCACGCGCTCTTCTTTTGTCTCCGATGCGGCGCCGCTTTGCCGGGGAAGCGCGCCTGCGATTGGTGCAAAACGGGTTTTCCAGTTGGTGTCTTTTCCCAACCCAAGGGCACACCCACAACTGGCTTGGGGAACGACCCTTGAGGAACGATCCTTGGGAACCATCCTGACCCAAAAAGGATTCCCTCAAAACTGAACACACACACACACACAGAGACAGACACACAGACACACAGACACACAAACACACAGACACACAGACACACAACTAACTTGCCTGGGACAAGGGGCAATGGTAAACAAAACACTGAGGCTGGACCAACATGTTCGGAAGTAGTTCCTTCTGGGATGTCAGACCAATATGGAGGTTGATCAAAAGGTCCTTTACATGGGATGACCATTGCGGGGAAGCCAGCAAACAAGTGATATGTTCACTCAATAAGAAGTTACCCATGGTCATTTGGGAGATATCCATCAACCCCCATATAAGGGGCTAACAAACATACGAACAGCTTACCCTTATCCTGACTAAATGTGGCTTCAACGTACCCTGTAATCGTCCCGTAACCCCATTCTAGTTAGTTGTGCCCTAATACTTGTCGACAATACAGTTGGATTCCCGGTTCTCTTCACCCCGCAATTGCAGACGCCCATTTCCACCACTAGCGAGTTGTTGTAACACATGACTTGGTTTTGGGGACGAGCAAACGAGCTCTCGAGATTGATCAGTGCTTGTTCAAGCGACCCACTTGCAAGGCTCAGTGCGGCAAAGTAGCCAATCCCGAACCCAAACATTTGCTGACCCTTCCGAAAGCCATTTGAACGACTCATTCACATGCCCTTGGAAGGACCGGACTTAGACCTGCAAATCTTCAACTTTCTGAGGAACGTGAAGTTGAGGCAAACTGGATTCCCCCCAAAAGTTGCAATTTAGTGGTGGGTTCTATTAACTGCCACTTTGCGAGGTCCTACAAAGGGAAATAGAAGCACGACTGTACTGAACAAAGGGAAGCTCAATCAACTAAGTCTGGCATTGACAATTGGTGATCGTCTTCAGGGCATCACTAACAAGTGGCTGCCAAACATACACAATCAAAAGGTCGAAATGGAATCCTTGGACAACCAAACCGGCAGGCTTCAAGACAAAAAAAACAATGCTGAAATTAAGCCACTGTCCTGATTGTTGTTTGGGGGCAGTGGTTGGGTTCCATTCTTTAACAAAGTGTTTATTCCTCCAAAGGAAATTCTACAGGAGAATGAAGGTGAACTCCGGCACATCATAAAAACCCGAACAAAGTGTTTAACCCTCCAAAGGAAATTCTACAGGAAAATGAAGGTAAACCCCGGCAAATCATAGAAACCGTCCCCTTCAAAATTGGAGGTCTGTCGAAAACGTCCTACCCACAAGCCAGTGATCCCAAAAACACCACTCTATTCGCCCGCGAGCAATCGATCTGGCGCCTGTAGCTTTCCAGCAAATAGACCAAAGAACTGCCATGGAAGTAGGACAAGCCTGAGTGGTTTTTAGTCACTGAACTAGAAACATATTTTAGAAAAACATGTATCCTTTTTGTTGGAGGGTGCTTTTTTTCTTGTAAATCTAAAGGGACACCAAAAGCAAACCCATCTTCTTCTTTCTTTACTTTATTTTTTTTTTTGGGGGGGGGTGCGGGCAAAGAAAGACACACCTAAATGTCACAAAACCAACTCTAAAAGTCCAATATGGCTAACCACCAAGAAGCGAGCAGCAACATGCACTGGCGAATCCCCGTGGTGATCCGTCTTGTCCTTGTCAGCGCCAGCTTCTAGCAAACACCGCGCAACTTCCACGTGGCCATACCAGACTGCACCATGCAGCGGGCTGCGCCCATCGTTGTCCGCCAGGTCCTTGTCAGCCCCCGCTGCCAACAAGCAACGCGCAACTTCCACGTGGCCGTTGCAAGCGCAACCGTGTAACGCCGTCCCTCCATCTTTGTCCACCTTGTCCTTGTCAGCACCAGCTTCCAGCAAGCAACGTACGACTTCGCAGCGACCCTCCTGCAGGTGTGCTTAAATTTGAGACCCATGGTCCCCTTTTATAAAGGGAAGCCTACAGGACAAGTGAGCGAGCGGCAACACCTAAGACTACTTGGAGCGATTTCGAATGGGAAGCTATCGTTTTAGGGGTTCACCATATCGTTCCTGAAGATTTCTGACGCATGTCTTTGGGGTTTCACCAAATCACCAAAGACATATCTCTAGATGAGAGAGCTTAGCCTCTTGCTCAAGTGGCAATGGAACTCAAGAAGGAAGGTCCGGCTGAAGCCTCTCCTGCGCTGCGTTGATCAACGGCGAGCGTCCGCCGAAATTGGCAAAATCCTTGTCAGCCTTTGCTTCCAGCAAACAGCGGACAACCTCAGTCCGGCCTTGGCCTTGGTCGACACATTCGGAACATCCAGGTTAAACCCCGGGGTCCAAGCCCCATTAAACGAATGGTTGACCCAACTTGGATGATGAAACTACTTAGGTAAATAGAGGTGCTTAGACCAGAACTCTTTGACTTTTATGTGGTTTGAACCCCAGGGTTAAAGGCTGGTGGTCACTATTCTTTGTGAGCTTCAATCTTGGTTTTCCGAAACATACGGTTCAAGGTCGCAAAAGGTTCATGGCGTTGGCTTCCTGAATGTTGAACCCCCGCTTAACCAACCTTGTGGATGAATTGGGATGTCTAGTGTTCCGGTGAAGGATGCCCTACATTGAACCAAACCCCACTCAAGGGATGCTCAATCTTAGTGGAGGTGTTGAGTTCTTGTCCAAGTGAACAGCTGTAAGCTCCCCAGATTCTCACTGGAACCCGAGGCCCTCGCCAGAATGGGATCCCGTTTCAAAAAAAGAGGAAGACACCCGTCTTGTTAGGCTCCACCGAACCATCTGGGGAGATTTCAAGTCACACCAAAGCTCCCTAGATGTTCCGAATAAACCTTTGGGTAGGTACTGATTGAAACCAAGGGAACGTATGGCTGTGTCTCATTTTCGGGGGAGCGCCTCTGGGTGCTTGGTCTCCTCTTCTGGACTGTTCCGAATCCCCTGCTATTTTTGTTTAACTTTGGGTGGTCTAGTGAAAACTACCTCTAAGCCCGATACCAAAACAAACAATAAAACAAACAAACAAACAAACAAACCAAACAAACAAACCAAACAAACAAACAATCAAACAAACAAACCAAACAAACAAACAAACAAACCAAACAAACAAACAAACAAACAAACAAACAAACAACACACACACAAAAAAAAAAAGAAACATAGCAAAACTGTCTGGGAACCAAGTCTTGTTTCCGCTAACCATGTTCCCCAAGACAAACACGCGACCATGCCACCAAGAATCCAGCGGCAAAGTAAAGGGGCGTGCATCCTGCTAGGTCACCTGGGTCTCGCTCAGCCCCGGCCTCCGAGCTTTGCGTTGGGCTCTCCCAAAAACACACGCACACACCATCCCTTGCTAAAGGTGAACGCTTAGTGAACTTTCCAGAAAGGGGAAACACATCGGTGCCACTGGGCGAATGGGGTTTAAACAATTTCCAGGGGTGGGCCACCCCTGGTTTAAACATGTTCAAACCAGCAAAGTCCTTCAACCTCTTGTTGGCTGCCCTTTAAAGGCCCCGAAACGGGGGGAGGTTATCAAAATCGTGTTCCCCTAAATTTGTTGGTGTCCTTTTGGCATCCCTTTAAACCAACGAAGGATCTTCCCGCCACCACTACCTGTGCAAACACACCGCTTGTTTGTAGGTGGGGTTGTTCAAAGGGAACCGGTTCCAGGAAAATGGAGGAGACTGCCACTGGGAATTCTGGGATCCCCCGCTAAAAGTGACTAACTGTTAATGCGTTAAATGGAAACGACCACCAAACACTAAAAGGCTAAAAAGCCAAGGAACCGCATTGCTGGGAGCCACCATGAATTCTCAACTTAACCTCAGTTGTTCAGTGACCCTGGAAAAAAAAGGGAACCCTTTTTTGGGAAGACAATTTTTAGTGGGGCAGCCACTGAACAACTGAGTAACTCTTGCGGCCTCCAACAAGCAGCGTGCGACTTCCAAATGGCCGGCCGCGAAATGCAGCGGCGCGCAGGCGGCGTGGTCGCGCTTGTTGGTGTCAGCACGGGCCGCCGTCAAGCATTGCACCTTGCAACCATACGTTCGTTGGGAGAGAGCTCTGTCCGAAAGTGGTAAGAGAGCAGACCACAGCTTAGCGGGATTGAACAAATATTTGCTTTTGAGAGAAATAGGTCGATCTTAAAGGAAACTGGCCGAGAAAAGACGGGATGTTTAGGCAAACACTCAAATGTAAACGAAAGCAAAAAGCTAATGCCGCTGGACCAAAGGATCCACCCCCTTTCCCCGCTTGCCTCTTGGATGCCTGGGCCTAGGCTTGCTCCTTGGATTGCTTAGGGGCCCGGGAACAGGTGCGGACCTGGGCGGAATCGAGCCCGGGGCTTTTTGTGTGGAACGTCGTCGGCTTGTGTAACGGAAAAAAAGGATTCCTAACGTTGTCGGATTCCGCCCCTAAATTCTCAAAAAGCCAACAAATCGCGAGGGGAAAAGGGGGGAGTGCGGACTTCTGAACTGAACCGGGGCACAATCTCCAGATGCCCACCTCTGGCCGCCTCATGCAGAGCGGAGCTGCCATTCTCAGTTGCCCAAAGGATCCAAACAAAGGCGAGCATCTTTTGGGGTCACTGAAAAATGGTCGCCGAACAAGTTGGGTCCACAAAAACTGGGAACCCCTTTTAGGGGAAACCAACAGGTTCTTCCATTTGCTTTTCGCCCCCTGGAAAGAAACAAAAAACGTCTCATAGATTTCCGTCAAAACCAACAAGGGGAAATGAAACATATTCTTAAGCAAGTGGAATGGTTAGAAAAAGGGTCGCTTCGCTTTGGTTGCAAGTGCGCATTTTCATTGACACAGTCCGGGTCCAGCGGCATCTCCAACAGGCTCACGAGCCTCGCGTGCTCGTATTGGGAGTGGCATGGGAATGCCCCGTGCAAGTCGGCTTCGGAAATCAGCCTTCCCAGCACTTCTAGGTCCTCCAGTAGAGAGGTCAGAATAAGTTGGATCAACTTTTTTCTGTACTCGATTTTAGTAGGGCTGTACTCGATTTTAGTAGGGGAACCCTCCCAACCAAAAATGAAACAGTAGAAGGACACTACTGGGGGGACCTAGACTTGGTATGGGCTTGCAAACAAAAGGCCTCATGGTTGCAGCCCCCTACTCGGGTAGCAAATATTGAAACGTGAAAAAGCGAGACAAGTATAGGCAAGGACGCATTGCCATATCGGGTTGCCTTGTCACCAGTAAAAGCTTGCCATATCACTGCGGCTCAGAAAATGGAATCCCCAAAATGGCACTTGAGACATAATCAAAACCTGGTACAACAATGGTGAACCCAGAACCATATAAAGAATTGAAAAGGCAGCCGCACCCATTTATGACTGGGATTGTCCCTTACTACCCTCCAACTACCCGGGTTTCGACAATGACTCACTTGGGTAAATGGAACCAGGCTGCCTCACCCCACCATGTTGGGATATCAATCATGAACGTGGAGAGGCCATCTGTCCAACACCTACCTCAAGGGGGAGGTGGGGGGCCCCACAACAGACAGCCTGGAACCAGAAATGAATGGTCACCCCCCCCCCAATTGATTTTATAAGGGGCTGGGGATTGTTCAAGTCCCAGCTAGGTCCTCCAGTAGAGAGAGAGGTTAGAATAAGGGTATACCAACTTTTTTCTGTAGTCTATTTTAGTAGGGCAACCCTCCCCCAAAAAAAGTTGGTAAAAGGGCATAGCTGGGGGACCTAGCCAAGATGTTAAAGTTTCAGGCCCAGCCCCACCGCCAACCCGAAGCTTCATTTTGGGTCTTGTTCGAATCAGAAAAATCGGCAGAGAGGTGAGCCCCCCAGGTACCTGGAAAAGGTGAAGGAAGGAACCTTCGAAGGTGGCAACGGGGCTCTTGGAAGGGTTCTATTCATCTTCCTGGTGGTCTGGATGGATACAAATGTTTCGGTCCAGTGGAGAGGTTAAAATAAGGGTACCAACTTTTCTTGTAGTCTATTTCAGTAGGGGAACCAAATCTCCCCCCAAAAAAGACACGGTAAAAGTTGGCACTACTGGGGGACCTAGAAATGCTTCGCTGACACATCGAAAGGCGTACAATGGCCATGGCCTCGTCACATCTCCGCTGCTTGCCGCCGCCAGGAGCCCTTGCCCTCTTTCTGCGCTCTCTGCTGCTTCTTCTTCCTCCTCTTCTCCGCGGGTTTCTTTGTAGGGCCGCACCACCACGAGCAGCTCGGAATCCATCCTTCAGCTTCCCCACCCCGATATCTGCCGATTAGCATTGAACCCCGAGACCATCTTTTGTAGAGGAACGTCCTTTTGGACCCTCTTTCTGGTTCCATTGCAGTCTGCCAGGGAGTATATATGTCGCAATTTGGATTGATGACATCAAGAACCAGGTGATCAAATCCCTACACCAATCCCACCACAAACCAAGGGTCGTTTCCCTCGGAGAAACAAAAGCAGGATTCATCAAACGGGAGGGAGCTTCATCGTGAGTGAGCTCGCTTGTTGTCATTTGCCCAAAAAATATGGCATCTGTTGGAACCAACATGGATTATGTGCAAGTAATACAAGGGCAATGATTACACACTAAAGTCCGCCACAACTTCAGTCTAATTGGTTCGCCCCGTGTCACGCATATAACATTACATGATTGAAACTGAGCCAGTCAATTCACATCCTCAAAATTACCTTCGGAAGTGTGACTTCAAGAGAAACCACCGTAACCCAAACGTAACTTTGAGAACACCTCAAAATACAATCACATTAAATCAGGACCGCAAGCCCATTCAACATATTTAGCCCTGAACATGTCATGACAACATATGCATGAGTATACGCAACAACGTCTATGCAATAAAATAGGTGACCCTCCCCCCGAAAATACAAGTGGTTCTCCCTTGAGCCCTTGAGTTTCCCTTTCAAAACCAGCCTGAAAAGGTACCGAGCCTCTAACAAAAGCACACCCACGCGGTACATGAGATCGTGTGTGCCCGTGGTTTTGGGCGGAGGATGAGTCTACAACACATGATCTGGGTGCTACAAGCGGATTGGAAACCACTGGCGGTCGGGTGCTCCAGAGAGAATACAGAGTTCTAGCAAGGGGGACCTTCCTTTTCCATTCTTTCCAGGGATCCGTCCTTCTAGAAAACCTCCGGATACCCAGGGAAGACGACTGGTTTGTTAAAAGATCGATGGTTGAAAGAATGAAAAAGGAATCAACCCCTAGAAGAGTACCCACCAACTGTTGTTGTTTGCCTTGTCTTCCCTTTGCATGAACGGTGCCCTTAAAATGTATCGACACGCCCATATGGGCGGCTCTTCAATTTTTTGAGTTGATACCCTTTTCGGGAGGGCGTTATGTTTTTTACGGTCCCCTATTTTGAGACACACTCATCATGTCGACCCCTGATTAATAACCCCCAGCAATTAAACAAGGGGGTTCCCTGGAAGAATCCCCATCAAAAAGGCACCCCCTCAATAAGTGGTGGTTTATTAATCAGGGGTCAGTCTCAACACGGGGGACCCTAAACATTGTTCTTGTTTTTCCTTTAAACACATCCCTACAAGGGTACCAACTCAAGAAACACAACTATTCATCTTAAGACTGCAATTTTCCCGCCACTGTATCGCCACCAAGAAAACCGCTACACGTATATGTATATATATATATATATGTATATATATATATATATGTATATGTGTCCCAATTACCCTTCTAGCTTCCGTTTGGGGCCAGCTGAGCCATATGGCTGTGAGTCAAAACCCCGTACCCCTGGTGAACATCAAAATAGGTGGTACATGGGTGCTCATCCGCCCCGAAATGGAGGACCCAGCTGAACCTTTTTGCATCCTAGGTCCTCCAGTAGAGAGGTGAGAATAAGGGCACCCTTTTTTCTGTAGTCTATTTTAGCAATTAGGGGAACCCTCCCAACAAAGGGGTAAAAGGGCACTACTGGGGACCCAGTACATCTTCAGCTTGCCACGGCTCCATGGGCTCCGGCGGTCCAGCTGCTGCTCATTGCACACCACCGACAGCCGGTGGAAGTTTCGCAGGTCCAGGCGCCGGGCCAAAGCCACACGCAGCACGTCGAGGAAGCACTCGCCTAAAAATCTAGGGGTACCTTCCAATTCCATTCCTTCCAGGGATCCTTCTATCCAAAAAACTCACCAAACCCATGGAAAATGGCGGGTTTTTGAAAAGAACGATGGTTGAAAAGAATGGGGAATCAAACCCTAGAAAAGTCGTGCGTCCCACTTGGGCCCGCAAACAAGGAGACACATGAGCTATGGCCTTTAGGGAACCCCAAAAAAGTCATTGTGTTGATTTTACCATGTTGCCCCCCGAAATCACGCAGTAAGGGTGTATGTCGTTTAGGGAATCCCCAAAACAAACATGTTGGGTGGTTGTTCCCCTTGTTTGTCAATTTAAAAGAGGAAAAGGGTTACCAACTCCAAAAGAGAAGACGTTGTTGGAAATGGAATTCCATAAGTTCGGCTCCCAAAGGGACCCAACAAGAAAGGCACCCAAAAAGAACCCTAGCCCTGAATAGGCCTTATTAGGGTTCAAGCTTTGGTTTAAAGGAACACTCAAGAACAAATTTTGGGGGATCCGCCCTATTTTGACAAAAACCCAGAGAATTGGACCATTTCTTTCTGGGGTTGATGCCAGCTTTGTTTTGGGGATTTTGCAAAATTTCAAAGGGAAAGGCGCGGGGTTGATTTTACTTGTGTGTAGGAAACTCGCCAAAAGGGATTTGAAGTGCGGAATCCACGCGAAAACACTTTGCAAAAACACTTGGAACCATATCGTTTTGGGGTTGATTCCATGAATGTACAGATATCACCCAAAGGGATTGTGTTTTTGCTGGGCCGAACAGCCATGTTGTCCAGGCGTTGATTCCCCATTCTTTTCAACCATCGTTCTTTTCAAAAACCGGCAAATCGTTTCCCCTGGGTTTCAGATGGTTTCCTGAAAGGAAGGATCCCTGGAAGGAATGGAAAAGGTACCTCTAGAAAAAAAACTGTGGGGTTCCTGTGCATTGTTTTTGGAATTGTCAGGTGGCAACCCTCAAAACAAAGAAATTGTGGTCACCTACCCCAGATTTTTGTGGATAAAAACAAGAAAATGATGGTTTCTTGCAAAGACTGATCCCTGGAAAGAATGGAAAAGGAGGGTACCTCCAGAATTGCGTGGAGAAAAAAGTGTGTCACCCAAAGTTTGTTTTTTTTTTTTTTTTTTTTTTTCTGGGCCAGACAGCATTTTGTGTTTAGAAAAATCGGTGCTGAATCCACTGGAGGCTCCGTCACCGGTTCCGTGCTCCAGAGTTCGCTCCCACCATGCGGCGAAGTCCGGTGGGGACATCACATCCTCGCCAGTGACCTGGGGCCCGAGGGATGAGTTGACTAGGTCCTCCAGTAGAGAGGTTAGAAACATTATGAATTCCCTTTACAAACAACAAGGGAAAATAACATCTTCTCAAGCAACCGGAAGACAAGGGTACCATTTAGTTTTCTTCTGTGTCTATTTTAGTAGGGGAACCCTCCCAACCATAAAAGGGTAAAAGGGCACTACTGGGGGACCTAGTTGTTTTTTTCGGTAGTCTTTTTTAGTTTCGGAACCCTCCCCAAAAAAGTTGGTAAAAGGGCACTACTCGGGGGCCTAGTTGCACCTGTGGTTGAAAGTGAGCCTTTGAGGCCCCTCCTGCGGGTGGCTCGAAGGGAAACCCCCACCGTTATTTTGTCTTCAAAAGGTCAACTATTATCGGGCGTAGAATATTAGACGGAGGGTTTTGGTTTAGGGTTTGATTTAGTATTCGTCTAGGTTGCCCGCCTATTCCGCTACGCGTGCAACTCTGTTTCCCACGTGTTGGGACGTAAGCGACCTTGCTTTGTTGGAACGTGCCAACTGTTTCATGGTCAGGCGCTAGGATTCATTGGAACACAGGCTTCGACCCAATCGATCGGCACAAGGTTGGAAACTGGTCGCTGGAAAAAGACAACCGATACCCTCCTACCAACTAACATGGAAGTGCAAAAAGGGCCTTTGCAAGAGGAACCAGTTTTCTATCCAGGTGTGGTTAGGTTCGGAGCAATCCTGCCGGTTCATTAGGGAACTGGCAGCCCAAAGCTGACCTGATGCCACAAGAATCTGCCGAGACCCTCACTCCCAACAACATGGCACCTGACCCCTACAAGGCAAACGATCTTCCAGGTACCCGATCGCCACAAGTGCTATCTTACTGGGAGCAAGGGTAATTCCACACAACAAACGGCATCAGGTTCGTACCATCAGGAATCCCTCCAGCAATTCGTTTCCATGGGGGAGCTCGTTTCCGCCCCCGTCCCCGGGCGAGCTGTGCAAAACAGATTCGCCCCACCTTGCGAACGCGGCCCATGCCGCTCTGTTCGGCCGGAAGGGCCGTTGAACGCGTTTGGGTCTGATGTGGCTGCGGTACGATCTGGGTGTGTATTTGTCTGAGCGTACTCCTTTCCACACGTGCTCATCGGGGTGCTGGCCCTGTTCTGTCACTGGGTGTGACCCAATAAACTGAGGACCCCTTGTGGGGGAAAAAGGCACATCGATCGGAAAACCGCGTTCATGGTTCGAGGATGAAACACACACGGTGACATGCTTCTTATTCTTCCTTCTAAATGTGTATATATATATATGTACATGTATGTTTTTTGGGTTGAGGCTTGATTCATGAGCGTGAACTCTGAACCCATCCCAAAACAAACACTTCTTGTAGTTCCGGAAGCCGAGTAATATCGGGAGCAAACTCCGGAAAGGCTCAGGAACCCTAAGGCAAAAGTGGAGGAAGGCCGCAAAAAACGTGGCTAACCACCGCAACGGGAATCCAGGAACCTCTGGTTGAATCATAAGTGGTGTGCCATGTAGCGAAAGTCTTCAGCTATTCATCCGCTGTGACAGATTCTAGGTCCTCCAGTAGAGAGGTTAGAATAAGGGTACCCTTTTTTTCTGTAGTCTATTTTAGTCGGGGAACCCTCCCCCCAAAAAGGGTAAAAGGGCACTACTGGAGGACCTAGCATTCTTCCCTGTCAACATTCGGCCAGGAACCACCCTACACTTCCCCAGCTCAACCCCTATGGTTTCAACGGAGCCGTCGATCGAAGGAATCCAGTCGAACCTTTGCGGGGCGATGTTGTCCGTCCTTATTACAAATACCAGCGACACACCCGAGCACCGTTCGGATTGGCGCTTTGGTTAAGGACAGTCTCCCAATTGCCCTCGATAAGAACCCGGGTTCAAATTCCCAAACCACCAAGCCAAACCGCCAAGTGGGGGATACCTGAGACACAAGACTTTTGGGGAATGACCCCCCAGACTTGCGATTTAGAGGGTGCCCTTTTAGGGTTGATTTGCAGAGAAACCACAGGGACCCCCATTTGTTGTTTGGGCATTCCACACACCCATATCTTGTCTGCTATTCCCGAAGCTTAACAAATTGGCTACAAACGGTGTGCATGCCCGCAGTGTATCCCAGCTACTCTTGTAGGAAGCATCCATGTTCCGTTTGGTGTTCGATGGCTCTTTTGGCTGCCGAAGCCGGGCACTCGGAACCGGTTGGGGAAAAAGCGTGCCGAGCACTCGCAGCCACGCCTGTGCAGCGGGAGTCTTTCAGACATTCTTCACCTGAGCAACGGGTTCCGCGGGTTTTGCGGGAAATCTACGCATAACCACCACTGTTTATGGGGTTCATAGCTTCTAGAGCCGGAAAAGAGATTCTGGGCAGGTTTAGCCGCTGGAAAAAACATGTCGATGGCACGTATATCCATACACATATGTACACACATGTGTGCATTGTATACAGCACCAACCGAGGACTTTGCCGGCTCCGCCCTCCCGCAAAAAAAAAAAACTCATGACGGCTAAAGAAGGTCTCCCACCCAAAGCAGCTTTAAGACTTCAAGATGCAATGTATTCAGGGAACCAACAGGAACTCGCCATTTAATGTGCTGGGCCCCCAAAAAACCGCACACCCAAATCTTCTCCAGCAACAAGTCTAAAGGGCATGCTCCCTGGTTCATCTGGGTGTCTTTTAGGGGAGCCCTCTTTCTGTTGGTTTTCCTTGTGGTTCCCGTGTCGATTACCAAACAAGAGGTACCCTCAATCAAAGACGAGCCACTCCCCCCTTTTGGTTGGTCAAGTCGGAAACCCACACCCAAATTTGAGGACCGGTTCCTATTTTGAGAAACTCCCATATGGATATCTGTCAAACCAGCGGGGCCCCAAAATCTGGATTTCGGAGGTCCTTTTGGTCTCCCTTCAAACCAACCCAACATGGCCTCAACTGCGAGAGGAACCCGCTAAGTTCCCTTAAACCTCTGCACAAACTACGCCTGCCAAAGGACTTTCCCCTGCCGAACAGGGCGCCAAGGAAACCCGGAGAGTTCCTTTAAAAAACACCTGTCCCACCCGCCCACCCACCCACCCCCCCCCACCCCCCCCACCCCCACCAGGTCCTTGCGACGCCTCCGCCTCCGCGCGATTTTTTCGAGTCGAGGGGCAGGCCATGGTCTGCGTGGCCGCGAAGCTCCAGGCGTCGATCTCCGTGAGCCGCTGGCCCGCGAGGCACCTGCCCTTCGGCACCGGCTCGAAGCCTCGGGGGGGGCGGGGGGGTTTGGTTTGGGGGGTTTTGGGGGTTTTGGGGGGTGTTGGGGGTTTTGGGGGGTGTTGGGGGTTTTGGGGGGTTTTGGTGAGGGGGTTTTGGGGGGTTTTGGTGAGGGGGTTGAGGGGGGTTTGGGGGTTTGGGGGGTTTGGGGGGGGGGTGTTGGCGGAGTGAATTGTTCTGTTGCTTTTTTTGTTGGGCTGGGGATGGAGTGAATTGGTTTGTTTTGTCTATTTGGGTATTTGAGGGGATGGGATGGAGTGAATCGACTTAAAGCCCATTTTCCCACTACGCCTTGTTGAGTCATGTCATGTCCATGTGAGGCCGGTTTTTTTAGGCACTGAATTGCTGCACTGTATCCCAACAACCTTTGTGGCACCCGTTGGAGACAAAACCATTTGGGAATCCCCCGAGGCAAGAGTGGGTCCGGAGGCAAGTGTGGGCTTTCGGAGAAAAAGTTGGGATGGACAAAATCCATTTCGCACCACCATTCAGAAACCCCAGGCTTATGATTAAATTCCCCTGCAAATACCAACGAACGAGTAGTTTTTCTTTGGGGTATGAACACCAACCAATCTGCACCTGGCACTTGGGGTTGCCCCGAGCAACCCGGCGGATCCACTTTTTGCAGGTATTGCTTAGCAGGTTCCTTCTCCAAAAGGTCCCAAGAACAGGGATACACCTGAACATTGCAGCTTGAGCAAATGGTGGGTTTCCCTTTATTTTGGTGTTAAAAAAACAACATGTTTCAAATGGTTGCAAAATGGAGATCTTTTAAGGAGCCCTGAATCATGGGAGACGATCTGAGAGTTTTGGAAGACTATAATGCCCGCTTCCACGTGGGAAAAGGGGATGCGGGTGCTTCTCAAGCGGCATCGATTCGTTGAGACGCAATGTTGACCCCATATTGATAAAGCCCTGGTTGACTTTGATGTGTCCACTTTGGGGATTCAGACTTTTGGAGGGAACACCCTCTAGAAGGGCGGGTTCTCATTACCAGTCGCCCGGCTTTGTTTTTTCTCTTTGAAAGGGGACCCCTATTTTGACGCAACCCCACCCCGGGGGGGAAAAAAAGAGGAAAAGGGGGAACTACAACAGTAGTGAAATCGATCCCCCTTCAAGCCAGAGGCAAAAAACAACAAGTCCTCGCAGCAAATGGACCCACCTCCCGGCACCAACCCATCGTCTCATTCCCCGCGCGCCAAAGCTTTGCCGCGGCGCCGCCGCACTGAGGCGCTACGAAGGCCTCCCAAAACGTGTGGAACACATCGATTCGATCCGGCCCTCGGATCCCCTGCTAAAAGTTTGACATCTTGCAGGTTAAATGGAAAATCCCCCACTAAACCCTAAAAAGCTAAAAAGCTAAGGGGGTGGCTGGGAGCCACCAAGGTATATATATATATATATGTTCTCCATCTCACTCCCACTAACCTGACAGGGGGTGTAAAAGCTGTAAATACCCTCCAGGTGCTATGTCAGCGGAAGGGAGGGTCTATACTACGCAATATGCCCAGTCTCCCATATGGAACATGACTGGGGTCCAAGAGAAGACTGATCTTCCAGATGCCCTCCAACAAACGCCATGTCTGGAAACGCACCCGTTAGCATATATATATATATATATATGTATATGTATGTGTATATATATATACATGGCAGGTTCTCAACATGGTGGACCTTCGTTGGGTTGATGTTGAAGGGACACCAAAAGGGCACCACCTATGTTTAGGCTCCCTTATTTTGAGAAACACATATATGCATGTAGATGTTCAGAAGTTTGGATGTTGCTTCATATGTTTGGAGGAGTCTGCATATTTGTGGTACCCTGAAAAAAAAAGCAAATAAGCAACGATATTGGAGGAAACCTGATGCTGCTGATGGTGTTCTGAAAGTTTTTCTAAAGCGTCTGATGCTTCCTTGGGGCCTCCTTCCAGAAACCGGCTGAACACATGGGGTACGTGGCAAGTAACAATGGGTTTGATCCGTTGGTTTCACTTTGTATTGAACCAGGATGCAAAGGGTAGCCTCAAAAAAGCACATACACACATCAAGGGGTATAGTGAGAAACCATTAGTCAGTGGGTTAAACAGAAACCCGACCAAACCTCCAAAAGCTAAAAACTTAGGGCATGGCTGGTAACCGCCAAATGACCATGGGCAACGTTTCCCATGTGTGGGGACTACCCTCTGTTTGGTGGGGAAACCCCACTGGTCACCCCGTATATATGCAGGACCCTTTGATCAACCCCCATTTGGAGATCTACGGAATTAAAAATTACATTCATCAAGGCTCAACATGGGGGTTCATCAATATTCCTGGCCCCCAAATGAGCATCAATCTTTCTTCCCCATTTAGGAAATGGATCCCCTTTGGTGGTTTCCCCACTGGTCACCCCATAAGGACCCTTAAAGAAATCAGCATGAATATATGTTCTTCCCGTTTCTTGGGGGTTGATCAATATTCCTGGTTCCCCCAAAAATGAGCATGAATATTTATGTTTCCTTCCCATTTCTTGGGGGGCGTCGCCTCTTTTGTGGTTTCCCCACTCATCATCCCCCTTTGATCAACCTCATGAAGAGGTGTTCTTCCCGTTTCTCGGGGGGCGTCGCCTCTTTTTGGTGGGAAAACCCAACTGGTCATCCCATGACTCGGTTGACGTTGGAAGGGAAGCAAAAACATATTCTTAGCTGCTCAGTGGTGATTTTCCACTAAACCACAAGAAGCAAACATGTATTTTTCTTTTTTTACTACAGCTGTGATGAGGAGATCAACCCCCCCACCGCCTTGGTGCTGGGCGCTAGGAAGGGCGGCTGCGCTCGGCCCACGCTGCGGCCGTCCCGCTGGCTGCCGTCGCAGAAGCCTCGACGGTCGCGAGCGCACGAGTCGCGTCGACTGTCGCCGCGGGGACGTCGGACGCACGGAGCGCGGCACGTTTTTCTGTTTTTCTTTCGGGGCCGCGGCGAAGATGTCGTGGTCGCCGTTGGGTCATTGCCATGGTTTTTTCAATCACTGCCTGTATGAACCCAAATACTGTGGATGGAGAAAACCCATTTCGCACAGAAACCCAGTAATGAAAACGATTCCTCTCATAGCAACAAGCAGTGGTTTCAACCATGGCTTCCAAGTGGGATAGCTAATGATAGCTAACATATTGTGTGCTTCCATTTGCTTTTCGCCCCCCGGAAACAAATGAGAAAATATCCAGTAAAGAACCGGGAAACGAGTAAAACATATTCTTAAGCAAATGGAAGCACGTTTTTTGGGGTGTGAATTTGTGGGGGCTGTTGCAAAGGGAAATCAAAGGGAAGCCAGTTATTTTGCGGGGTCCCTGAAGAAAACAACCCATATCTATCCTTTCTCTGTCTGTCTGCAGCTGCCCAGCCGCATGGGGGCTGAAGAGACGCCCCACAATGCGGCATATACGTATTTGGGTCGTTGTGTTGTTGTCAGTTGTCTTCTTCACAAAAGCTTATTTGGCCATGGGTCAAAATCCCGTACCCTCAGTGACCATCCCAATCCCCACTAAAAAAAGTAAAATGGGTGGTGCACCTATCCCAAAATGGTACCATTGGTTTTGACCCACAGCCATTTGGAAGAGCTCAAGATCTCATCCCACCATGTTACCCAAGTCAGAAGTCCGAGCCAAGAAGAAACATCTGGCATCAACTGCTCCTGGCTTTAGGAGGGTTTGACCATCAAAAAGTGGGAACCCCTAGCTGTTGGAGGGGTTCCATCAAAACAAACGGCTTTCTGCGGGAACTGAGGAAAAGTTTGGGCGTCGTTTGGGCGTCCTTTGGGCATACTTTGTATTCGGGGGCTCTCTTTGGTGTTGTGGGAATTCATGTTCACCAACCTCAGAGCGCACCAAATGCACCAAAATTCACATCTGGGCCAAATTCGCCAAGCCTACTTGCATAGTAGGAACAGGCTGCCCCTTTCTGCAAAGCCGCAAACCGCTTGAGATGGGCGCTAGATTCCCATCTCGACTAGGTCCTCCAGCAGAGAGGTTAAAATCAGGGTACCCTTTTTCTCTGTAGTCTATTTTAGTAGGGGAACCCTCCCCCCAAAAAAGGGGAGTCAAGGGCAGTACTGGGGGACCTAGTAGACGTCCAAAAGCTGACTTCCCCCCACTTCACCATCGGTAAGGCGTGTGAAATTCCTGGGGCTGCCGCAACAACACCGCCAACACAAACCACCCGACAAAAGCTTTCAACTACACCAACTGTAACCGCCCAAACCAACCACAAAAGCAAACCAGTCAAAAGGACCTCCAACCCAAATCACCCCAATCAACAACCCAAACCACCCAAATCCCAAAACAAAACGGCGCGGGCATGCGCGGCCAAGACGCAATGGAAGTCCCCCCAGCCACTGGTGCCGTTCTTGTCTGGCATCCCATAGTTGTAGCAGCCCTTCGTAGTCGCCTGGGAAACTAAACTCATCAACTAGGTCCTCCAGAAGAGAGGTTAGAATAAGATGGTACCCCCTTTTTCAGGACGTCTATTTTAGTAGGGGAACCTCCCCCAAAAAGAGGGTAAAAGGGCACTACTGGGGGAAAGGGTAAAAGGGCACTACTGGGGGACCTAGTCAACCATGGTTGGGAGAAACATCGAAAACAGAACCAAAACAAACCCGAACAGCCCCGGATATACGCCTGTAATGGTCGTGAAGGCCCATATTGGCCCCTAATGGAGTCTCTTGAAAACCAAAGGTCGTTGAATCTACAGTGAGTAATCAGCTACCACATCCAACGGGCGCCGCTAGGTGAAATGGAGACTTCAGCCAGAAAGCAGGTCCACAATCGGGGGGCATGTGCTAACTTCACTATAGGGGTTGACTCCCTGGCCTAAGTTTGTTGGGTGTTGCTAAGGTAGCTTTCTACTGCACTACTTTCTGAATGACACATTGCGCAGATGTAGGCATTCACAAACGATACACTGGTGTCCGCCTGCTTGCACCAACACTGCGTGCTGCTGCTATTTGAAACGTGTCATAAGAACGCAGACTACGCCCTCGCCGCGCCAGCACTCTTCAAACCCTGACAGCATTGGTCGGGCCGCTCCCGCGATGAAGCAGCCGCCCGGATGAACTGATCCGTTTGCCGTTGAAGTGTCTCAAGTCGAGGAACTCAGGGAGTGCGATGTTGGACGAACAAGCGGGGATTCGTTTGGAGCGGGGATATGGGGGGATTCCCTTGGCGCCATGTCCCCTCTCAAACCTCTTTTTCATTTTTGTTTAAACCATATTTAGCCAAGGTGCATTTAGGGGGAATCCTCCCGTATCCCTGGTTCCCCCTGTATCCTGCTAGTTGGTTTCCCTGAAGATGGGCATGGATTTTGATTGACCCTTTGAGAGCCATGACTGAGGTGGGTTTTGATATGTCCGCCAACCATTTTTCTGGGCTGTTCTCAGATCTCCCGCTAAAAGTTTAACTTTCAGTGGGTTAAACGGAAATCCCCACTCAACACTAAAAGGCTAAAAGGCTAAGGAACCGGATAGCTGGTCTCACCAAGTTTTGAGTAGTTCGCTATGCCATGGATTCCAAGGTGCCACAACACAGCTCTGGCCGCAGGAGAAGTTGGAGCTATCCTTCCAGAGCGGATCAAACTCCGGGTGAGAGCCGCCCCCTGCGGTCAAGTGGGCTGGTCTCTCGCACCCCAAAGCGTCAACGTGGTGCTTTGGTTTTGCCTGGAAACCACGGCACCCTGGAAGAAGACATAGAGAGCAAGTTCAGGTATGGGTTTTTGGAGGCATAACTTGCACCTTATGTAAGGGGTAGATGCTTGCTTGACATGCTGAAAAAGGGTGATAGAGAGCCTCCGCGCCTCCAACGCCATACCTGAAAAAGCCCCTTATACAAAGGCTTTACATCTTTTTGCCTGCAAAAGGGAGCCCGGCAAACAAAGGGGCGCGAGAGCGTCTGAATTCTCACGGACCCTTTGCTGTACCTGATGATGGGGATCTATACGAACATGTCCGCCAGTCACTTCTTGGCGGGTTCCGGTTCCATCTCGCAGATTTCACCACCAAATGGGTGGCTCAAAAAAACCGGTACCGAAATGGAACCCTGGTAAGTGGAAACATGGACCAAACCTGCGGTTTGCCCCCCCCTGTTTAATCTTGAGCCACACCCAAATGGGTGTTTGTGTGTGTGCGTGTGTGTGTTTGTTTTCGAGGCTCGGTGCCGCTTGTTGGGCCTGTTTCAAGTGGAGGCCAGAAGGAAGCCGTTCCTGGGGTCTCATTTTGATCCGGGGGTCACTGGATTTCCCCTCACAAGTTGCCATCTGGTAGTTGAGCCGATCGCCAGTTTTGGAGGTCTATAGAGAACTTGAGGCCGCCGGACTCAACTGGGCTTTCCTCAGATCCCCACTATTCGGTATTTTGTTGGTGGGGGTTTCTTGGAAATCCAACCACTAGACACTAACAAAAAGCCAAAGAGCTAAGGGCTCGCCACCACCATAGGTGGCCTTTTGGAAAAGTAGATGGCCCTGGTAAATGGAAGACACCCCACCTAAACCAGTGCCATGGATTCTTAATCAAACTGACCTAAAAAGGACACCAATGGCCACCAAGCTACCCAAATGAGTCACACTCAAAACCCGGTATTAAAATGGTCCAAGCCCAGAATGCGTCAAGAATTCAGAAGGCGAATGTCCGAAACTATTTCTGGCTGGGACTGCCCCGTAGTATCCTTCATCTACCCGGGTTTTGATTGTGGCTCACCTGCACTTTGGATTTCGCTCACTTCCGACGTGGATTAGGCCCAACAAAAACGCAGAGTCACCGAACTGCTTGTTGTTTTCTTACCAGTACACTGGTCCAAACCCAAAAGCGACCCCAATGCACTTGTTTCGAATTCCCACAGCCGGGCCTTGCACCGGGTTGCACTGGAGGTACGGCCCAAATTGACCATCCACCTGGCGCGAGTACGCGAGTGCCAGAACCAACCGGTTCGGTCATGAAAACACATCAGCTACTGAAATGGGCCCAAAGCAACTAGGTCCTCCAGTAGAGAGGTTAGAATAAGATGGTACCCATTTTTGATCATCTTGTTTCAGGACGTCTATGTTAGTAGGGGAACCCTGCCCCCAAGAAGTGGAATCAAGGGCACTACTGGGGGACCAAACCAATGTAAAAAACTCAAAACTGAAATGGCCGACCCAAACCAAAGAACTCAAAATGCCGGATTCTCGGACAGTATCGGGAGTGTTCCTAAGCTTCACCCTTCACTGATGGCTTTTGGGCTTCCCAAAACCCCCAGTGGCCATGTCCCGAACCAGCGAACCAGAACTGCGATCGGCTCCGAGGGCGGCTCAGACCAACTTGGCTACAGAAGCGACCCGCAGCGACTCGACGTCCGCGCGCGACCTCCACGGTGAAGATCCCGTAGAGGTTGTTCGCATAGTCCACGCACCCATGCGCCAAGGGGTCCTGGAGTTCAGGTGTGAAATGGTGTGACAAAATGTTCACCCCCCCCGAAATGGTGGACATCCGAATTCGGTGACTTCGGGGGGAGGGGGCTCCCTGTTAAAATTCATACTTGGCCGCCAAAAGGCTTGGCTGAGAGGGGAGGTTCTAAACCCAAACCTCATTCTTGGGTTTTGCAACCTCCTTCATAGCCACAATAGCATGGTTGTTCGAAGCAGGTCGGAATTGTTGCAGCCGACGCAAAAAATGACCCAGAGAGCAGATTCAAAAGATCCAAAAAGGGAAGCGCCCTTTGATTAGTTGAGACAAACCCCCTGTTTGGGAGATAACCCTTAGTACAGTATGTCAAACAACTCCCCGACACCCAACTGTTTACAGCCATGCACTTGAAAAAGCAACGAATTACTCTGGGTTGCTTCGACAGATTTCCTACCCAAATCAGGATCCATTTTGGAGGACAAGTTTGGCACACCGGCAAGAGGAATCGCCTATAGCAACTCTAGGGGGCAACCGCTCATTTTGCCAAACATGGTATTCGGAATGCAGGACCATACCGTGCTTGGCACCACCTTGGATCAGGGTTTGCAAACTTGCCTTCACCAGCTGTTAACTAAGCCTTGGTGTTAACCATGGCCACAAGTGGGACAAAAGGGGTGAACACAGGCGTATGTATGTATATATATATATGCGCATACATTGTCATCGTATATAAATGTCATAGCCTTCTTTCTGAACGTTTGAAAACCCCTGGAATTTTAGCAGGACAACTGTGTTGCGTGCCAACCACTAAAAAAGCACAGAACGTTTCCTTGCGAGAAAAACAACAAGGTCCGTGACTCAAATAATGATTTGAAAAGATCGGGGAACCTTGCAAGGGGTGGTCTGCCTAGCTTCGTACCAGACAACAGAACACTTCGAACAGTTTACCGAGCTTCAAAAAAGACAGACCCAAACGGTGAAGAGCTCAGCCGACACATCTTTTGTTCACTTGCCCACCCGGGTAGGGCCAAAAGAAGGGCGCCCTACGACACCTACAGGGAGTAATCTGGGTCTGTCCTCCTCAAAATGCCCGTCTTTTGTTTCTAAAGGGAAACCCAAGGAAAAACCAAACATTTTGGGGTCCAAATCCCAAACAAGTCGAACCACACCTTTGTGTCGCGGCATTCAGAGGTCTCCTGAGCGCACACCACGGACATGTTCTTCTTGGACAGCCAGTAGCCCATGTCGCCCCGTGGGTCGCCTGTGAAGCAGCCACTAAAGTTGCCTCCCCGTACATGTTGTTTTTGTTTTTCTTGTGTGTTGATTTGTTTCAAGAAAAAGCAACAATTTCAGTAAGCGAGCTTGTTCAGTGCCGACGTGAGTGCCACTAAAAACAACATACTTACCAGTCTGACATGGTTTCTTTGCAGCCAACACGGTACACACACACACACTCGCACGCGCGCATGACATCATCTTTAGCAAGGCGACAAGTGGGACAACAGGGGTGGGTTAACACATATGTCGTCATACAGTTCGGTTGAACGACCAAAAGGAGGCCGCAAGTGGCGAACACCAAGACTGTCGCTGCGCCAACACATGCCAACACCCTTTAAAAGCTGTCCCTGATGGGGAAGATGCCTGGGTTGGAGGTGTTTGATGTTTCCCGATGGAGCGCTTGAAGAAACCACATTTGTTAACTTGGGCTTGTCTAAATGATCGCATAGAACTCCATGAAAACGGGCAATGTAGGAACACTGCCACGCAAAGCAACTTGTTCCATCATGGGACGGGAGGCTTTGCGGACGGGAAAGGAGCGGCTTGAATTGCGTTCTGGGGTTGTCTAGGTCTTCCAGTGGAGAGGTTATGTAGAATAAGGGTAGCCCTTTTTTCTGTAGTGTATTTTAGTAGGGGGAACCCTGTCCTGGGCAATAAAGTCATGTTTGAATCCAGCCTAGAGGAACCAAAATTTGAACCCTCAGGCGGACCTGGTTCCTGTTTTTGATGGCTCCCTGTTCAAAAGAAAACCACGGTTTGAACCCCCTTCGTTTTGTTGCAATTCCAGACCTGATTGGGAGAACAAGCACAGGTTGGGGCGTGAGTTTTTACTTGAGGAAGATAGGGGACCTTGAACAGGCAATGCTGGGAAACAATAATAACATATTTCCAGTAGTGATAAGTTCCTTTTAAAACCAACAAGGGAAAATCATAATACACAAACTATTCATTTCAGCAAATGGAAGACCGGAGTTCAGTAGGCAATCTTCGCCAGGCTCTCCTTGTTAGATGGTCTGGGATGCATGGCTAAATGGTTGAGTGTTGTTAGTAACCTTGCTGGTTCTCAGCAGGGAATGAGAAACGGAATGAACCCCACAAACTATCCCACTGGTGGTTTCCTAGATCCCCAAAACCGGTTCATTCAACACACGGAAGGTCATGCCCTACCTGTCGCACGAGCAAATAACCCTGGCCCACTTAACATGGTAAGCCCGATTTGGCTAAGTCTCCCACTCCCTGCTGTTGACCCCGGATTCAAGTAGAACCCGTCCTAGAGTGCTTCCCATCCAAAATGTGATTCCGGATAAAACCCAGAGACGGCCTATCAAGCTGGCGTTGATGTATATCTGGGGCTAACATTCGTGCATTTGCTTAAGTCCATGCAAACATCTCCAGTGATCCATTCCGATTGAAACCAACAGGGGATATAACACGCATTGATTTCAGCAGATGGAGGATCAAAACTCCCCTCACGCCGAGCCGGCGCGGCTTTCAAAGACCATTGAACAGGGAGTTGTGGGTTCGGAGCCGCACTCAAGTTCGGAACTTTGCTAAATGGGAAACCTTGGTTCTTGGGGGCTTAACACGGCAAGTGGGCGACCTGGGAACCATCTAGCGATTCGTCCCAGACCATCTAAGTACTGCCGATCGGCGTGGATTTTGTCTAACAATATAAGGCTGTTGAGTGGCAAAATAGCGGGCCCCCCCCTCAAAAAAACAACAACTGTGTTTTGCTCCTGGTTTGCCTTGCAAGCAACGCCAATCAACGGGCGCAACCAGAAACAACCAACTCCACCCCAAGCGGTTTTCGGGTTTAGGACGGCTTCCAGCCTCCCCAGCCCCCCCCAGCCCCCCAGGCTGGGCGCCGGGCCGGTGTTCTTGTTCCGCAGGCCCGTGACGTTGGGCGGGGTCAGGCGGTACAGCTTCAGCGTGGAAGGCTGCCCCGTGTCCCCAGCGGAGCGGTTGTAGAAGCTGCACTTTGAGGTGCCTCCGGAGAGCACGCGTGGCCATTGAGTTGAGATTCAAAAAGAGTCACGGTGGGCGAAAATGAAGAGATGAGTCAGCGATCGATATGTTCCATCATTTGCTGTAATATAGGGGACTGCATGGGGCACACTCACCCAAAGGGGTTGCTCACAAATTTTCGAGTTGGAGGCACAATGGCTGTTGTGGCTCATATTACGCATCTGCATGGGAAGTCATGGTTCAAATAATACCCTTTCGATTCTGGAATGTGTTTCCTTGTTCCCTGGGTGAGATTCTGCGAACCGATTAAGAAGGACTTGTATGAGCCCAGGTCAAAATATGTTGGGTTCCCACAACAGACATTGATAGAGTGACTGCCTTTTGGCTTTCAGGAAACTTAGCGAGTGCCCGCATGTCCCTCCCACATTAGCCATATTCCAAATGCCTTGACCTAACTAAGCTCATATATCACTGCGTCTGAGCTAGAACTCGCATGTGTAAACAAACACTCAAATTGTACGACAGATTTAACAGCTATGAATCTTAATTAGGGACCCTCCGGTGGAGAAATAGGCGGGGATCTATGTCCACACGCTTTATAGCCATAGAATTCTGAGACGGGACCGCTGATTCTGGGGACCGAGCCTTAAGCCCGAACGCGCCGAACGCCACCCTGCGGGGCTCCGGGAGGAGGGTTGCTGTTCCATGACTTGGCAGCCAAGGGACATCAGGTAGCAGCTCTGCTGTTGTTTTTTTCATTGGTCCAAAGGTTTTGCTGGGCGCTATGGGATGTTTAATATGGGTATATATAACATAGTTTTATCAAGAGTGAAACTCCAAACACCTTCACAGGAAACTGTAGTTGCAAACGAAAAGCACATTGTGAGGTTGCGAGTTCAGTAATTAAAGACTTGGGCCATGGACTTTGCTTTGCAGTGACCGGGAATGGTAGAGATGATCTGGGTGGGGATTCATGTCCACCAACCACTTTCGGGAGTGCCCCGCAACATCGTGCTCCGCACTTTTTGCGTGGTGCCAAAGCTCCCAACCCCCGCGAAAAAAGGCTGACCACAAAACAGCCCAGGTTTCCCTTTAGGTTTTGCCTTTAAACCAACCCCAAAAAGGGTGCCCCAAAGAGAAAATCCAAGGCCCTGCTGGCTTCTATTGCAACCCAAGAAACAGCTCAACTAGTATCCCGACAACCACGGAACTCTTCCCAAAATCGGCTGGAGCTCCGAACCACTCCAAAGCTTGCTGGGTCCTGTTGCAAAAACTGAGCACAAAGCAGGAAGAGAACCACACCCACAAAATGCTCAGACCTTTTGCTAGGAACAAACTTGAAGCAACATGTCTAGCTTGTTTCGCGAAGGCCCCAAACAATTCAAGGAGAGGTTGAGAGACAAGGTCCTCCAGTAGAGAGGTTAGAACAATGGTACGCTTTTTGTTCTGTGGTCTATTTTAGTCGGGGAACCCTCCCCCAAAAAAGGGGTTAGAAAGGGCACTTAGCTGGGGGACCTAGGAGAGAACCAAACCCTTTCTGTTGTTTTTTCTTTTTGAAGGTATCTTTGAGCCCTTCCACACCTGGAACTCCACTTAAGGGCGGAACTCTCCGCACCGAATTTTGCGGGTTGGGACTTGATCGCATCCTGGGGCTTTGATTCCGTGCGAGCTGAAGCTCGAAAAGGAATTCTCTCGGGTGTGTTGCTTTCTAGGAGTCGAACACAAACCAAAACCCTTTTGGTTTCCCTTTTAAACCGCCCACAGGCCCTCAAAACCAAAAAAAGAAGAAGAAGCTGATTTCCCTTTTAAACCACGAAAAAAAACGAAAAAAGAAAAAAAAAGAAGACATACCCGCAAAACCACACCCATATGGGTCGAACCACCTCTAAAATGCTCAAGCAAGCAAGCAGGTCGCAGATTGATATGTTGGCCACGTGTTGCCACCATTCGATGCTTCAATCTGAGTGTTACTAAACAGCAGGTATTGGTCCTGGAAGCGGCTTATGGATAGTGAGAATCTGTTAGACAGACCTCTGGTGCAAGCTGAACCTCTCTTTGTGACTGGTTTACTTGCTTTCCTCCATGTGTTTTTTGTTTCCGCCCCCCTAAAAAAGGAAAGATATGTCCAATAGTCATAGATATCCTTGAACATAGTCATAGGCTCCCTTTTAAAACCAACTAATATAAGACTAAACATATTCCTTTCAGCAAATCGTCCTTTTCTCATCACAATCCCTAGGTCCTCCAGTAGAGAGGTTAGAACAAGGGTGCCATCTTTTTCCTGTAGTCTATTTTAGCCGAATCTCCCAACCAAACAAATGGTCTTTAGGGAACCCTCCCAACCAAAAAAGGGGTTTTTAGGGGAACCCTCCCCACCAAAAAAGAAACGGTAAAAGTTGGCACCTAGCTCAGGGACCTGGATCCTGAAGGCCGAGACGCAGTACTCCTCACAGACCTCTGCCGTGGGCTTCTTGAGGTCGCACGACGGCAGCACCGCACTCGCGGCGCCCAGCAGCGAAAGCGCCAGAGGAGCCAGCGTCATGGCGTTCGCAGCGGCCGTTTCGCTGGCTTTGGCGTGGTTTCGCTGGCGTGAGTTGCGTGTGGCTCAGTTTTTCTCTGTGGTTTGGATTTTGGTATGGATGAGCTGCAAGCAAAAACGGCGGAGCTCGGGAAGGGCATTATTTCATGAGGTGAGCTTTTCCAACTGACCAGAAGAACTTGAGGCCTTACTAGGGAGTATCTCTCTGCCCAAGGGTCAGGGTGCTTTGTATGGCGGTTTCGGTCTCCTGTCGGTTGCTCTCAATCTAGAAAACTCACATACAGGCTTTGAAGGAAGCTTCACACTAGTGTAGGATCCTGCCTCAAACCAAAACATTCTGAAAAGCAAGTTGTATTTTGGTCCCAGCACTACAGAAACAACATCCAGTTTGAACTTCTCAAAGCTTGGCTCTGTCAATTCAGGACTTCCTAGACATCCCTTTCAAAACATCACCACTTCGGTTCTTTGCATTGGCCAAAACGCGATGTCGATATACGCAAAGGGGAACTACGACCCAGATGTAAGCAGCGCTTCCTCAATCCGGATTCCCTCAACGTCTGGATTGATCTGGAGCCCTCGTTGGAGAACAACCCCCCCCCTCCCCGAAAATACATTATTTCCATAAAAACCCTGACAGTCCGGAGCGGATTGGTTTCCCCTTCAGCCACCAGCGCAGCCTCTGTTCAGAAAGGGGCATGTGGGTCGCTGGGTCAATAGAAACAGCCCTGCGAAGGGTAAAGATCCCTTGGCCACTGACAGTGGAAACCTGAAACCACCACCACCCATTTCCGCAACCATGCCCGCGCATCCTGACCAAACCATCCGATTTGAATCCAACTTGCATGGTTCAGGGAAACCGCAAGGACCCTGCAATACTCAGGGACTCAACCGCGAGACCTGACTCACTGACGCCAGATTTGGCAAGGGGCCCAAGGAAACTCCCCGAGAACTCCAACGAAGGGAGTCGGGGCAAAAACTCGGGGCGCCTTCGACCCGACTTAAGTGCCTTTTCGGCATTTTCGTGGGCCAATCGCAGCCCATGCAGCCCAAAACACGTGCGAAGGGGGGGTGAAGTCCTTTTTGGCTGGGGAAGCAAGGGAAAAGTAATGCTTCACCGCGCCAAAAGCCATTTCACTGAAACAACTCCAATAAAACCTAAGAAGAAGCTTCTAAATTAGGTATGACCCCAAACCTGGGGCGTGGCTCATGGCCGGAACTCGGTTTTTTGGGGGCTGAGCCAATTTCGGGGGGCTGAACGGGGGGGGTCGGTTCGAGTCGAGTCGACTCCGAGGCAAGCACTTCCGCCGTGCATCGGAGCCCTTCCGGAAGACCACGATCTCCTGAGAGAGGGCAGAGGTCGAATGGGAGCACTCCATATCTAGGTCCTCCAGTAGCTCGCTTCCTGAGTGAGTTGGCCAAAAAAAGTCCAAACTTTCTGCTTGCCACTAAAATGGTCTTCCCAACAAGTTTAAAGTCCATGAACTCAGGGAGTGAGGTAGTCTTGGTTGCTGCAACGACCCCCCTGCAAAAAAGTCAAATAACTTTTGGGGGGTTTAGTGGAAAACACCAATTGATTTCCCAAAAAGTTAAAGTCTAAAGATCCAACCCAATAGCAGTCTAGAGTAGAGAGCTTAGAATAAGTTGGTACCAACTGTTTTCCTTTTTGTCTATTTTAGTAGGGGAACCCCCTTCCAAAAAAGAAACGGTAAAAGGGCGCTACTGGGGGATATGGGTTTGCCTCAAAGGGGCGACACCCAATAAAGGATTTTGGTGGTCCTGTTGGTTACCCCAAAAAACAAAAAAGAGAACTACCTGAAAAGCTGAGGACACAATCTACTTTGGTCAGTTGGTGGGTTGATTTTTTGGATGCTGTCCGTGAGTATCCAACCAGGGCAGAAAGGGACATTTCTACCGCTTGCTGGTTCTGAGTGAGTCGTTTGTGGCGTGGGAATGAAACCAGGGTTCCACGTTTTGACCCCAAAATAGACTTAAACCTAGGGGTTGTCCTTTTGGGAGGAATGAAGCACTGGGTTTAAGTGTACCCTGTAGAATCCAATTTTCGCAAAGGAAACCGGGGACGGCTTGGTGTCATCTGCCTATCGAAGCAAGTCAAGCCCTGAAAACTGGGGAACTGGGGGAAGCGGGGACGGTTTCTGGGTGGGCGACCTTACCCGGCCCGGCCCGCTGGATTTGTTGCTTTGGATTGGTTTTGTTGGCCCCCACGCCAAGAACTCTTCCAAACAGCTGGGAGTTTTCAAGGAATCGCCTGGGGAGGGTTGGAGCCAACTGAGAACCTGACAAAAGATGCCCATTGAAACAGGGCCCCAAATATGTCCTCTTAAAGTTGGAAAAAATAACTAGTCATTTCAGCAAATGGAAGTTATGGTTTCCCTTGTAATTGAATTGTGCCAGGAGTCCGGCCGAATGTTGACCTGGATTAACCCCTGTGTTTATTAATCAGAAGGGTCGGTCATGGGGCCTGAGTTTTGGCACAGCCGTAAAACAGCAAAACACCTATTATTGATATGCGCGTGTTCCCCTCCAAAAGTGGTCTGATTCCCCAATAAACCCAGCCGGACACCCCCCCATACCAAACAAACCTAGGTCCTCCAGTAGAGAGGTTAGAATCAAGGTACCCTTTCTTCTGTCGTCTATATTAGTAGGGGAACCCTCCCAACCAAAAAAAACAGTTTTCAGGGCACTACTGGGGCTAGAAACAGGGGATTCTTCATCTGTGGTCCACATTCATCAGATGTGCCCCCACCCCCGGCAAACTCGCCCTGCGCGCGCGAAAACGCCAGCGCTTTCGCGCCCTGCGCGCCTCGGTGTGCTCCCGGGCGGAGGCGAAGCCCCACACGCTGCGCCGGCCAAAGTGGACCTGGCGATGTTCGAGCGATGTCTTCGGTATGGTGGGGGGGGTGTTGACCCCGGAATACCCCATAGCGATGCTTTCGGCTTTTTTGCGTTGTTTTACCGCTAAACCCACAACTCAGGCCCCATGACTGACCCTTCTGATTGATAAACAGGGGGGTTAATGGGTCAACATTCGGCCGGACTCCTGGCCCAATTCCAGGGATACCATAACTTCCATCTGAAATGACTACACTAATATACGTATACATTGATATATAAGTGATATAGTTAAACAAATATTTACTCATGTTGTGATTATATTTTTGTTATCACATGTTTTTTCAACCCCAGGGTCAACCTTGACGTCGCCCCGACGCCTGCCGCCGACGCGGAATCGCCCCGACATCGCCCAACTTCGCCTGCCGCAGCCCCGGGGCGTTGGGCCCGCTGTAGGCCGCGAAGGCGAAGTCCCGCAGGCGCCACTCCGGGGGCTCCGCGCCCCTCGCGGGCGGAGACCGGAAACCGGAGGCGGGGGGGCGGGGCGATTCGTTGCTTGGAACATCAGGAGAAAAGACCCTTGATGCACCCCTGAATGATCAAATGAATATCAATTCGTTGCTTCTATTGCGCCCTGAATGATTTGGAAACACATGGCTGTGGCTCAAAACTAAACAGCTGGGGCAAACCGCGGGTGTTGGTCCATGCTTCCATTTACCAGGGCAAGCCATTTGGGTACCGGTTTCTTGAGCCACAGCCACATGAAAACCACGAGAAAACTCATGGGAAACCAGTTGGCCACGATCCGGGGCCAGGAGTCCACGCCGGGTGTGATTTGTTGTGAGCCGAAGGAGCACCTCAGAACAGGTCACCCGGAGGGACCCCTCGTCCGGATGCTTCAGAGATGAGCCCCTTTTAGCGGATGTTTCAGGGGAAATCTAAAAGGAGATTTGCCATCTGGGGGGGCCACTACAAAAAAGACACACCCATTAGTTTACCACTATCAAAGTCCACCCCCATGATATAGGTTTAAGGAGAAACACCCCCAGTTTTGTGATATTGATGGACCCCTTGATGCTTAGCATTTGCGTGGGGAAAGTGGATTCCGGGAGAGTGGATTCTTGGGACCCAGGTGGTTGTTGTTTTTCTTGAACCTTAAACCAAACCCTCTTGCCCACCATTTGGTGTTGCTAATTTGGGTGGAGCCAAGTGATGGACATAAAAACTCGCTGTCCAAAGGGTCGCCCATGAACCCACTACGACTGATGCCTTCGGTGATTCGAACGGGGAGGCTCCCTACCAAACTCTGAAGAGGAGGGCCCCATGAGGGTATTTAAGACAAGTTTAAGTGGTATACGGCTAAAGAAACAAAACACACGTTTGAATCCGACTCTGATAAACAAAACAAGACTTGGATTCGGGCAACAAGTGTCCCAGTGGTCCTGAAGAATAAGATAATCCAATACCATGTTGCAACCCTTGCAGTTTGGTCGTTGTCTTGAGGAAGGAAAACTCTTGTCAGGCCAACACACCCTTTCTCGGTGGCGCACGAAACTTCATGCTTGCCGGGCGCATCTTCTTTACCCTTACACTCTATGCGGAACATGACCGATCGTTGTGATAAACAACTAGGTCCTCCAGTAGAGAGGCTATAACAAGGCTACTCTCTTCTTTTCTGTAGTCTATTTTACTCGGTTGCTTTCTGCTCCCCTGCTAAAAGTTTAACTTTTAGTGGTTTAGTGGAAAACCCATTAGTTGGCAAAAGGTTAAAGTCCTAACAGCCCAGCAAAATGCACCAAAGTTTTGTAGGGGGCCCGAATCTCCCCCAAAAAAGAAATGGTAAAAAAACGCCCTCTGGGGGATCTAGACAAGGATTCCCAGACCCATGGCTTCTCGGACCTGGACCTCGGGTTCAATTTTTGGGAGCCAAAGGACTGGATTTGAACATAGAAACCAGCAGGGACGGACGCTCCGGTGCTAGGGGTGGATTCCTTTTCCATGCTTTTCAACCATCGGTCCTTATTTACAAAATCGAAAAAATACAAAATAAAAATAAACAAATCGGTTCCTAAAAAAACACACACACACACACACACACATCAGCTATTTTCCCTGGGTGTCCTGAGGTTTTCTAGAAAGATTCGGATCCCTGGGTTCAGAATGGGGAAGGCACCCCTAGAGTCATTCCTTCTTCACTCGGGGAGCTCGCTCGGCCAAGGAAAAATCCGGAGCTCGCTCAGACCTCAGGGTCCCGTAGGTACCCTCTGAGGTACTTGAAGTCCTTCCCCCCAGCCATCCTAAGGGATGGAACGGATTCCAGGACAGAACCCCAGGTTCACAGTCTTTGCCCAGGCTCAGGTCTGCAAAAAAAGACATGGGTTGAATGGAAACTAGCACCTGTGTAATCCCTCAAAAACAAAGAAGCCTAGAGGGCCTAGGGGAATGCTGGGAACCACCCACCAAAATACTGGGTGCTCTAAGGGACCGGAACCTTTCCGCCACTTTGAACACCCTTGACACTCCAAACCTTGCAGCTGTCAACAAATGAGAGCGACCCCGTGGGCAAAACACATGCGATTCTTTGGCCTCCAACAGGGGGGCATGTGAAAACAATAATAAAGGCAAAAAACAAACAAACAAAAAACGGGACATCCAAAGTGTTCCTTTCATCCCGTGGTATCCCGCGCAAATTTCCGCCCTGAAAGCCGCACGTCACAACGCAACCGCCGCATCCCCCGCAGCGGTGGCCCCGTGCCTCTCGAGCTGCGTGAGCCGAGAGCCCCGGTGCACGAAGCCCTCCTCGTCCAAGACCTCGGACCTTGATGGGACGGTTCGGGACGTGACACGGGCTGAGCGATCGATCGCGGCCAAGGAAAACCGCAAAAACCCCAGGAAAAACCGCTGAGGGGATCCACCAAACCAAAAAAAAAGAAAAACAGGAAAGACAACTGGTCATTTGGCAGATGAAAACTGGCCACTTGGGTTCCAAAAACGCGGCCAAGGAGACCAAGTGGGATCCACTTCAAAACCTTGGCGCCCCCAAAATGGTGGGTGTCCTGTTGGCGTCCCTGTCATCAGTGTCCCTCTACTTGCTCTGGACGTTAGAAGAGGTCCTCGAGAGGTTAGAATAAGATGGTACCCGATTTTTCCGTTTTGTCTATTTTTGTAGGGGAACCCTCCCACCAAAATGGTAAAAAAGGAAATATTGGGGGACCTGTTTTAGAATCCACTTCAAAATCACACAGGGCATACCATGAATACCCAAAGTTTTATTCACCAGGGTGATAATCCAGTTCCCCTCCCCTTCAAGAAGTTATTATGTTGCCTTTGGTTGGAAAAAGGGTGTTGGGTTTCCATAGTTAAGCAACTAAAAGTTATTCACTTGCAGCAGGGGAATTCAGGACCGGTTCAAACAAGTGTTTGATTGTTTTTAGTTGGAGAAAGCGGTTGGGGTTTCCATATGTCAGCCACTAAAAGCTATTCACTTTTGGTGGATTTGAGGACAGTGCAGAAAGGCCATCCACTTGGGAGTGAGCCGACATAAAACCCCCACCACAGTCTGATGTCCACCATTTCGGGTCCAACCACTTAAAATTCTCTGCCATAGAATTTGTTGGGGTTCAATCATGTTTTTTTCAGAATGCACCTAATTCATGTCGACCATTGCGGGCCCCAATCAAAAAAAAGTATTGACGCTCAAAAGGATTCCTGTCCACCTAGTTCATGTCCGTTCCGGGTCCCCAAATGGCTGTGGGTCAAAAATAGGTACCCAAAATGGCTTGCCCTGGTAAAAAGAAACATGGACCAAGACCTGCGGTCCATATCCTGGTGGCCTAATTTTGACCCATACCCAAATAAAACTTGAGTCGAAGCTTGGGGGTTCAAGACCTTTTTCACCATTGTTCAGACTTGATGCCAAGCTTGGAGTTTTATTTGGGACCCGGGATGGTGGTTCATGAGTTAGGCGCATTGCGAAACAAATAACCATGAAAGCTGGTTATATATATATATATATATGTATATATATATATATATTTGTATATGCGTATTGTCTCAAACAAAAACAACAACAAACACAAACACACGAACCCGTATTGGCCACCGATTCGGAATCGCTACCTGGCAAACAAAAATAAGCGGTCTACCCAAAACCCATGTAAAGAATAACCAAAGGGTAAACAGTTCCTAGGTCCTCCAGTAGAAAGGTTAGAATAGGGGTTCCAGTTTGTTTTTTATGTAGTCGATTTTAGGGGAACCCTCCCCCAAAAAAAGGGTAAAAGGGCACTACTGGGGACCCAGGTTCTGCAAAGTTCTTGTTGGTGCTGTCCCTTCACCGTCGCTGACCCAGGTTTGTATGGCTGACTTGTTGAACAACTGTCCCAACAGGGGACCGCCCCCCTTCCCCCCCAAAAAACAAAACAAAAACGTGGCCTTCAAAACCACAAAAAAGGTAACTGTCAAAAACGACCCTCCCCCCCAAATGTTGGAGCAGAACAGGAACCTAAAACGGGGGCCTGGGTGTGATGACTTGGGTACACGACACAGAAACGCTACAGGTTTTTATGGGCCTCGCGACAATCCCTGTCAAAGCAGGTAGAACCACCTACCAAAATGGCCAGGGAATCGGGCTGTGAACCAATGGTTGCCCCCGGCGAACCAGTCGCGTTTCTGCCTACCAAGCGTCCAACCGGAACATCAAACTGCCAAAACTAAAGAAGGAATTGCTGTTACAAGGTATAAAGTTCATGTTTGTTTCGGGATGGAGGGAGTCGCTGGCCTCCTTGGCTCAATAGTTATGGATCCCCTCAGAAACTCCTTGGGACACTTCGGCTCTTGGGTAACCCGGCGAGTGCACCATGAACTGCAGATCTGGCGCCAGCATGGCTCCAACACTTTGGGGCCAGGCGCTCCACTCAAAACCGGAAATCGAACTCGCGCTCAAAGCTGCGAGAACTTTCACGCCCAAGCTGCCCCAAGCTGTCTGACTGTGACTGGAGGTTTGAATTTCTTGGTTCACGCTTTAAAAGCCGTGTTTTGAGGCTCACCAAAGAAGAGATTGACTTGATGAGGCTTGGTGCATTTTCTTTGTGGCCAAAAAAAGGGGCCCAAACTGTGGCGTTTCCACCGAACTTCAAGCGGCACTGTTTGATTCTCGCGCAAATGATCCTGAGGTATGTGTCCAGAAACCGGCTGAAAGCAAAAAGGCGTGATTGCCCCTTCCTTGCGCGCTGTCTTGCTTCACCCGTGTGCGCTCTTTCGCAAATCTATCCAAGTAAATCCTGGAGCCGAGGCCGCGCGGGATGAAACATCAGCCGCCTGCATGACACAGCGAGTTGCAGGTGTCGAATTCCGCATGAGAGTTCCTGTCACTTGCAACCAGAGACCCTCGAAAGTCACAGCGGTTACCTTTTGGAGCCTCGACTATGACTTTTGACCTTGAAGTTTGACTCAAGCTAAACCAACGTATTAAAACAACACAAACAACACACAGTCGTCCTTCTTACGGCACATCCGTTCAAGCAATCCATCAACCTGGGTCAGCCAAGCCGTTCGTTCAGAGCTATGGGCTGGAGTGCACATTGAGGGGACACCCCCAAAGCCAAGACCTGTGGTTCGCAGAGAAACAAATGAGACCCTTTTCGGTGCTTGCTTGCTGACGGGACAAGCAAGAAAAAAAAGAACGCTAAAAATGTCGGAGCGTACGCCATTCTAGACGTTGATTTATTGTCCATTCTTTTCAACCATCGCTCCAAAAGCCGAGCATTTTCCCTGTGTTTCCGGAGGTTGTCTAGAAAGAAGGATCCATGGAAAGAATGGGGAAGGTATCCCTAGAGCCATAACAAAAGTCTTCACGGCTTTAGGATGATCTCACCGGTGTGATTCCATCCGCTTTACTATGCGACTAGTTGCCCAGAGTGCAAACATATGATCATTGCCCTTGGTTGCCGATTGGCATAAATGAAGCGGGCAAAGCAGCCAAAGAGGCAAAGAGATGAATGTGGGCCTTGCCTTCCGGGTTAGGGCACCCCTTTGGTGAAGAAGTCCCTTTCAAGGGAACCCTTATCAAGTTATTGATCCCGGCGTTTGCTTCTTCAGCGTGGCAATGCAACCCCCCATTCCAAAACCACCGTTGTGCACGGGCATTCACTCATTCTGCACTCAAGCAAGAGCGCAAGAGTCAATCCGAGTGCAGGAGCTACCAAGAGCTCTTACGCTCTCCCCAAAATGCAGGCAACGTAGTCTCGAGCGCATACAAATATTGATTTGGGTGTGGCTCAAAATTAAATAGGAGGGGCAAACCGCAGGTTTTGCGTACCCATGTTTCCACTTACCAGGGCTTGCGCCATTTAGGGTACCGTTCTTTTTGAGCCACAGCCATTTAGAGCCATAGGAAAATGGTCACAGCGACCAAGCTCTGTTCGTGCCAAGAGCTGGGTGCCGATAAGAACCCGCCTCTGATCTTCGGACAGCCCCAAGGCCCCCCCCCCCCCCGCCAGCCCCTGGGCACTTTTTGGATCAAGCTGCTGACCAGCGGCCTCCGAATTCGGATTTTGTTCAAATGACCAGCAATTCAACATCACTTCACATGGCGGCTCAAAAAAAAACGGAGTTCCAAAATGGCTTGCCCTAAGTGGAAAAACATGCCTCCTGCTCAATTTGGAGCCACGCCCATGTCACTTCTCTTTTGGCTTGATGAATCTGGAGGCATGCCAGCCATGCACTTCACCGAGAGCATTTGCCGGGGCCCGATCCCTTGGGCCATCGAATTGGTTGCTCCATCGGGCCACCTGTGATCGTGTGAGAAAGTTGGTCCTAGGAGAAAAACCATAGGTATACTCAGTTGTTCAGTGACCCTGGAAAAAAAGGGAACCCTTTTTGGGGAAGGGTGAATTATAATCTTTCACCAGCCTGAAACTTTCGGTGGTTTCGGGGCTCTCCCCTACAACCACCAGGAAGGGGTGAATTCGGTCGTGTGAGGTCGTTATAATTCACCCAGAACCATACTAGGTCCTCCAGTGAACTTTGCGGATAAGAAAGGCGCGGCTTGAATTGCTTTTTGGGCTTGTCTAGGTCCTCCAGTAAAAAGGTTAGAATCAGGGTACCAACTTTTTTCTTTTTTGCCTATTTTAGTTCGGGAACCCTCCCCAAAAAAGTTGGTAAAAGGGCACTACTGGGGGACCTGGTCTAGGACCCAGAAGATGGTTTGCTCAGTTGCCCAAAAGACCCAGAAGATGGTTAGGTGCACGCTTTGGGGCCGCTCGACATGGACATCAGGGAACCAACAGCTTAAAAGGTCGATTCGCTTTGGTTGCAAGTGAGTCTGGTCAAATTCGCAAGCGAAGGAGCAACCCTCTATCAGACCGAGAGCGAATGAGAATCCGAGAGCAGTTCCCATGATGAGGGAAGCGGGGTGGTTCTTTTCACCTAGAGGACACCGACACTTTTGTGTATACATGTTTAGCTAAACAGGCATCTTGTCAACCAGTTTGGATAGTGTATGGTCGCCAGCTTCCTTCCTCATTTGTTTTGCAATCGCTCCAGTTCCTTTGACAACTGACACATTCTAGGATAGCTTCCCCAAATCCAGGGATTCTTCCAGGAAACAAACACATGTGGCTGGATTTTGAGAATTACAAGAGACGGGATTCAAGCTGTGGCTAAACTGTTCTTCCTCACCTGGGTTTCAAAAACATCTTACTTGCATTGCTAAAGCCAGCAAGACAAAACTATGATTATTCATGGGAAAGACCTCAATACTCCTTTGTGGACATAATACCTCGTGTAAACATGCCTACCAAAATGTCTGTGATATCCATGCATGTGAGCAAGAGAAGCGAGCACTTCCCGCGTTAGATTGCCGTGGTGTTTACCTACTATGAGGCCCAGAAATCTTGCGTCTAAGAACAGCAAGGGAATCGCCTCGAAAACGTCATGCTCGGAGATAAGCCCCCTGTTTGAGAGTATGTTGCCTATTGTTTGCCTCACCTTTCAGCCACCGGCGAGATGTTAGAATATGCCTCATTGTCACCCACACGCGCGATTCAAAAAACGACGGGCCACCCAAATGGTTTGCACTCGGCTTTTCATGGGAACCATCTCAAAGAAGCAAACAGGTCCCCCACCTTTTCTCTTTTTCCGGGCTCTCGCGACTCGCGACTCGCGACCTCCCGGCTCTCGCGATTAGAAGCTGGAGCTGGGTATCGAAGCTGTGGTGAGCCTATATTTTGGACACTCAAGGAAACGTGGTGCTTCGTCACTGCCTTGCAAAGGAAAGCCTTCAGTGGTATAATTATGTCGAAACCTTCTCAAACTCTAAACGTCTAAGCAGTCTATGACTGATAATTGCACAAAAACCAACTCTTGGTATTTTCGGACATGTTGTTAAACCAATGTTCTAAATCCGGTTTCGTTGCCAGGGTCTGGCCGATGAAATTTTCAAGGCGGGGACCCACAATGGTCATCAGTTTCCCTCTAGTTGGTCTGAACGTTAGGGGCACCTCATTTGGCTGCAACAGGAAGTGGTCAAACCCCCAAACCACAAATCCAAGCCACGAATCAACGGCAAACCAAATGGACTTCAACCTAGGTCCTCCAGTAAAGAGGTTAGCACACGATGGTACCCACTTGTCTCCTTTCTTTTCCCATTTTAGTAGGGGAGCCCCAAAAAAAAGCCCAAAAAAGTTGGGTGAGAAAGGGCGCTGGCAGACCTAGCAACCCAACAAGGGCGCCTTCCAACCAAACGACACCTTGGTGTCACCAGCCCGGCTCCGAACGGTGCTTCTTTGGCACCAAGCAAACTCTTTTGCGCCCAGAACCTCCCCGGACGTGGCTCAATCTCACAGTGAGCCCGGGCGTAACTTGCTTAGCTTCACCGAAAGCACAACTCTTCAGTTGCAGGTCCCCACTCACGACCAGGTCCGCCAGTAGAGGCTAGAAGAAGGGAACCAACTTTTTTTTGCTGTAGTCTATTTAAGCAGGGGGAACCCTCCCCCTAAAAAAGAAATGGTCAAAGGGCACCTTGCTGGACCTGGATGATGTGTGTAGCTTCTGTTCCCAGGCAACACATTCAACTGGGCTGCTCCGGGCCCGGAACGGGCAAAAGGTCGATCACATGTTGTAGGTTTAACGGAAAACCCATTTTCCTTTCGGTCAAACAAATGAAAAGTTTTCAAACGTTTGGCATTCACAAAAAACAGGTTTCCTTTCGGTTTCAACCATGTTATCCTTTTCATTTCCATTCCGACAAGGTCCTGAATGGGGCGGTTCGGTCGCACCAACACCGGGCCGCCCTTGCCAAACTCTTCGCTTCAGCCAAAGGATTGGCGAAACGTTCGGTCCTGCGGTTCGGATCATCACAGTCGCACTTGCCCAAAGTGCCTGGAGAAACCTGCTGTTTTGGAACCGTAAATTCCTGGGCCCTCCTAAGTGTGCATGTTTTGTACTTGGGCCAAAGGCTCCTTTTGGTGCAAACGACACATCCTTTGCCTCAGCGCATCTTTACGAATTTGACTGTTTTGCGAAACCAGGATGAAGCCAAAAAGGCGACTTTGCCCGACCCAAAGGCGACATTCCTCAACCAAAAGGCGACATTTGCCGACCACGTTCTGGCAAGATTTTGAAGCAGCACTTTTAAAAGGAAAAGGTTATTGTTGGAGCAAACGACACAACATGTTTGCTTTTTCAGCAAGCGGCGGACAAAATGCACACCTGGCGGGTCTAGGTATGGACCCAATCAGGGAAACTAAATAGTGGACAAAGTCCGGGAAAAGTCTCGTTGCTCTGGCGGCAAGATTCAATATGCGAGAGAAACGTTTTGCGGAAGGCCTGAACATTGGATTAAATCGAAGTCACTAAGCCGAGGATCTTTTGCTCCAATGATTC